AAGGTAAGCGCTTTTTCTGTTAAGAAAAATGGGAAGTTGCAAATATTGGTGCAACATCGGGCATTGGTGTATTCACAAAAAATAATTAATACGAAATTTATAAGGAAAACAATTAAACGAAATGAGATTTCTGATTTGTCAGAAAAATTAACACTTACTATGTTTGATGAAAGGAAGGACACTCCTTGGATTTCCTGCTGCACAATGCTTTCGTGGGGGGGTCGGAGTTATCGAGAATGCCAACCTTCATCTATCAAAATGTACTTCATGTTTCAATCAAGTTAGCATGTCTTATATACCAGTGGATTGATAATCGTAGTGTTAGTTACGCCACAATACACCCCACCAGATTTTTATCAGGGATCGAATTCGATGAACGGATACCACTAGTTGCTGTATTCGTGAAAGACAAGGAGAGCTGGATTAAGGTCAATGGGTTTTTGAGTGCTGAATGTGAGAGGTGTATTAACTTCACGGTCGTAGTCGCTCCTGTGTTGCCTTTAGCAGGCGAGTGTATACGTTGTGTGTGATTGAAACTGAGCAGCAACAGCGCTAGGAGATGGATGGTGTCGCGGTCACAAGTAGCAAGTCAACTGTTCAATGTGGACCATCCATCGAAGTAGGCGTTACCAAAGTGGGTGTTACTGTCAAGATAGGCGTGTTCACATCACGTCCGAAGGTCACCAACGTGGGGGGCGGAGTTATCGACAATGCCAACCTTCATCTATCAGTAGGTACCTCATGATTGAATCAAATTAGATGTCTTACATACCAGTGAATTGATGTTTAATAATCGTAGTGTTAGTTACGCCACAATACTCCCCCACCATATTTTTATCAGAGATCGAATTCGATGAACGGATACCACTAGCTGCTGCACTCGTGAAAGACAAGGAGAGCTGGATTAAGGTCACCGGGTTTTTGAGTGCTGAATGTGAGAAGTGTATTAACTTCATGGTCGTAGTCGCTCCTGTGTTGCCTTTAGCAGTCGAGTGTATACGTTGTGTGTGATTGAAACTGAGGAGCAACAGCGCTAGGAGGTGGATGGTGTTGCAGTCACAAGTAGCAAGTCAATTGTTCAATGTGGACCATCCATCGAAGTAGGCGTTACCAGATCGAAGTGGGCGTTACTGTCAAGGTAGGCGTGTTCACATCATATCCGAAGATCACCAATAGTGGGGGGAAAGCTATCGACAATGCCAACCTTTATCTATCAAAAAGTACCTCATTATTGAATAAAATTAGATGTCTTACATACCAGTGAATTGATGTTTAATAATCGTAGTGTTGGTTACGCCACAATACTCCCCCACCAGATTTTTATCGGGGATGGAATTCGATGAACGGATACCGCTAGTTGCTGTACTCGTGAAAGACCGGGAGAGTTGGATTAAGGTCACCGGGTTTCTGTGTGCTGAATAAGAGAGGTGTATTAACTTCACGGTCGTAGTCGCTCCTGTGTTGTCTTTAGCAGTCGAGTGTATACGTTGTGTGTGATTGAAACTGAGGAGCAACAGCGCTAGGAGGTGGATGGTGTCGCAGTCACAAGTAGGAAGTCAATTGTTCAATGTGGACCATCCATCGAAGTAGGCGTTACCACATCGAAGTGGGTGTTACTGTCAAGGTAGGCGTGTTCACATCATGTCCGAAGATCACCAATAGTGGGGGGGGCGAAGCTATCGACAATGCCAACCTTCATCTATCAAAAAGTATCTCATGATTGAACCTAATTAGATGTCTTACATACCAGTGAATTTATGTTTAATAATCGTAATGGTAGTTACGCCACACTTTTAATAAAAAGTCTCCATCTAAAATTTTTGTTAGTTTTTCAAATTATAAAAGTATATCAGTAATTTCCGATTCAAGTTATTTTTTGCGCCTTTCTGAAAGTAAATACAAAGTTTATTACTTTCCCTCAGTTACATAATAATTTTATAAATTTTTACTTTTCAAAACGTAATATTAATTTAAAAGTCTTATAATCTTATTGTTTTCTTTTATTTTATCAGTATATAATTTGTTATCAATGCTTTAATTTTAGTTACAAAAAATTTGAAAATCCTAAAACTTTTTTCTTATTAATTAGTATGAAATAATATTAATTTATTAGATCAGTATTAATTTTTTTAATTAGTCATTCAATTAGTTCTTTTTTTATCCCTTCTATTGTGTTTTATTTATTTATTTTTTTGTTATTTAAAATATTTCCAATTTAAATTCCATCAGTTAATTATTCTTTAATTTCATAATTTATTATGCGAGACTAGTTAAAAGCAAATTTTTAAAAAAATAAATAATAATGTGTATTGCTATTTCATTTCATTGGGATTTCAAAATTTTACGTGTTTCTAGATATTTGTGACCTAATTTTCCCTCTTTGTAAAATAGTGTCAAATTTGAATAAAATTAATAATTATAATATTGTTTGTTTTTTCCAGTATCAAAATTTAGTGATTGCATTTATATTTTGGTTAGTTTATTTTCGCTTTCTTACAGTTTTTCTTTAAATAGTAATATTTTCAAAAATTCTTAAATTTTATCACTTTATTTAGTTTTTTTTTTTCTAATCTCCTACAAAAATTTTGAAATTTTTTAAAAGAGCCAAAGTTTTACTTTATTTTTAAAGCATTAAGGCATTTATTTTTAAGACATTTATTACATTAATTTTTATTTTTAAGTTTCAGTGATTCATTAACTTGTAGTTATTTTTAAGTTTTAGTGATCAATCTTTTTCTGGTGTTACATTAGGCCGAGAACCGAAAATTAGTGTCGTTTTTGTTGCATTAAATTTTACAATATATTTTAACTAGTTTTTTTATTTTTGTCAGTGATGTAACCGCCCACGTTATCAAAAATCTTTTGCTATTGGGCCTACGAAATTTAAATGTCTGATTCATAAAAATTATTTGTATTTTTGAGTAAAATATCAGGAAGAGGCATTTTGGAAATGTTATTGCGATCAGAATGGATATAAATCTGATGGTGTAAAGTCAGGCAATTATAATGGGTGATTGAAGTATTCCTACCTTTATTCATTAAATTTTACACGATTATTCAAGACCGCGCAGTGCGAAACAATTCTTGCAAAAAATTATGAATGTAGGTGGATATATGAAATAAAAGAAACGTACTAATATTTATAATATTTAGTAGTGAATTCACATAATCAAGTAAGAAATTTTTGAATGAAACATCTGAATTATCCAATGTGTATGTATTTAAGCAGCTTTGGATTTTTTAAATTCAGTCAGAGTGTGAATTTTAGATTTTGGTATGTTAAAATATGAAGCAAAATAAAATATTATACCTTATTATCCTTTTTTTTTATCATTATGAAAAAAAATAATTTCAAAATATAAAAAGGTAAGACTTATTAATGTATGCAAACAATCCTTCCTTTTAATTGAAAATAATGATTTAAATTAAAGTACATTAAAGTAGTTTGTACCATATTTTTATAAGAAAAAAAATAATAAATAAATAACATTTCTAGACTTTGATTTATTTTAGAAATTACGAATAAAATTTATTTTACTCCGAATATATTTATTATTATCCTTCATGTAGGGGGGAAGCCAAAAATATTTTTGCTTACCCTTGAAAATCGGCTTGGACCGGCCCTGTCATTGTTCTTTAAGATAAAAAAGAAGAATTAATTTTAGAAGAATTTTAGAATTTGTAAAATACATAAAAAGAATTATGAAAGGTAAAGTTATGTAAAAATTTAAATATTAATTTGAATAATAAAACTTCCTACGACAAGTCTCGTTCAAACATCGTCTCGCAAACAAAAATTAAGCGGAGAATTTCAATATTCCGTTCCGGTTTTAGAATTTTTGTTCTTGTTAACACACAGTAAGAGGTTCTTTAGTAAGAGTACTCTGTTACTGCAACCCTCCATGCAGTCGTTAAGAATCTATTGTAGTTTATTTAATTTGACTTACGAAAAACAGAACACAAAAGAAAGAAGTACACAAAATCAGACAAACAAACTCAAACTATATAGTAAAGTGCTATTACTTGTAATAAATTTATTGAAAAACAATTTCGTAAAAAATGTAATTTATGTAATTTGTTAGGAAAAAAATGGGACGTAGGATTCTCTGATTCCACATATGGCGCCACTACTGGTTTACGACATGCTGAAAAAACGACAACATCCAATGTTAGTCAGAAAGCACCCAAAAAAATCCTTCTTCTACCTCCATTAACCTAGAGTGCCTGTATTGCACTCTAGGCACTCTACATTAACCGAAGCGGGGGTGCCATCCCCTCCGCAGAGGATCAAAATTGTGATGGCATGTCTTTGGATCATCCTCCGGGATGTTTCCCAGGCCGTCGCCAATAGCCCATTGTGCAGCTCTAGTGCAACGTAAATTAACAACAACCTCCATTAATACATTCATTCGATAACGAATGAATATTTGATAGAATGAATAAGATGAGTAATAATTGCTTTTTGATCAACTGAGCTGATGATAAAAACAAGTGTATGTCATTACTTTTTAAGATTTTTTTTTTTGTTACTGTTCTTTTTGTTTTCTCACCTTTGCTCAGATAACAGAGAACCTTTTCAGTTGTGAAATATGATTGTTGTTGTTGGTGTTAATTTACGTCGCACTAGAGCTCCACATGGGCTATTGGCGACGGTCTGTGAAACATCCCGGAGGATGATCCGAAGACATGCCATCACAATTTTGATCCTCTGCGGAGGGGATGGCACCCCGCTTCGGTAGCTCGACGACCTGCGCGCGAATTCAAGCACTTTACGGTAGCACAGTTTAACGAGGACCAATACCGCACACCCTCGGTCCCTACGCAGACTGATCCAAGTGGTCACCCACCCGCACACTGACCGTAGTCAGTGATGCTTGACTTCGGTGATCTGCTGGGAGCCGTGTCTTAACGATCAGTCCACTGCGGGACTGTGAAATATGGGAGAACCTTTTCAGTTGTGAAATATGCAGATAATTTTTACAGCTAGCTGTAACTTTCAGCTTTCATGTTGTATTCTACATCGTTCATAAATACAAGTTGAACTACTCGTTTTCAACTGCTTCTCAAATGACGTTCGAAAAATGTTTCTTGAACTAAACGCCGAGATCAACTTTTTATTCTGTTCAAATTTTACATGTCTTCGGTTTTCTACCTTGGTGTTTCTTATCCAGCTTGCAAAACGTAAATAAACAACTAAGGAGCATGTGCTTTTAATCGTCTATTTTTAGTGCAGATAAATAATAGCTAATTGATAGTGATTGTACTGATTATTGAGTTCAATGTACTGTAGTATTCTTAAGAAGTTTTACATCTTTGTTAGTTTTAGCTAAGAACAACAGTCATGTCTAAAGCTGTTGCTTTGGTAAAATGACATTTTTTTTTCAAATTATCTCTGAACTTACTTATAACGAACTGAATACCTTTATTTTAATTTATTTTTTTTACTTATATTTTACCTATCCTCAAATTAACCAAATATTTAGTTTTATTTTTTACTTATCTTTTATTTATTTTTATAGAAGAAACTAAAGTCCTTAGCTGTCGTAGCTATTGGGGGAACAGCTGCATTTTCTGCAATCTGCCTTCAACAAGGCAATGAAAAATTTTACCATAAAGTTGTTATGCCAACTTTGCATTCATTACTATCACCTGAATCATCTCAAATGCTTGGTTTATATGCTGCTAAACTAGCACTCATACCTAAATGTAAAGTTGAGGACGGAGATCTTTTAGTAAGTGAATTTGTGTTAAGAAATAGTTTAGTTGCAAACATATTTTTTTGTCCTTTAAAAATTTACTTTTTAAGCTGAAATAAAAATGTTAACTAATTTACAAATTTACCTGTTGTGATATTTTACAATCAAGAGTAGTTAAATTAAAAACTGCAAAGAAAGAAGTCATATTTTTAGGCAGATAAATGTACTTTTTTTTTGTAAATCTTCATTTTAAAAGAAATTATATTTTTAACAATTGTATTTATTATAGATTTTATATGTGATATTTTCTAAATATTTTGCTAGAAATTACAAACCATTTATTTAATTGTTGAATGGGAAAAAAATTTATATCATTTAAAATTTTGATTGCAATTTAGTAATTAACTTTAATTTGATTCCGAAAATATAGATATAAAATATTTTACTGGGAACTAAAGTATTTATATTCTTTTGACAGTTGGTGAAATTATTAGGAAAGAAATATATTAAAACTTTTTTGCTTAGTAATACATTTGATTTATTATCATTATAATTGTACAAGGTTTGAAAAAATTATAATTAAAAAAAAAGGGATTTATTTTAATTAAACCAGATTTTATTTTTATTAGATTATTCTGTCACTTAATTAAGATTGATAGATATTTTATGCAAAAAATATCTGGTTCTTCTAATTGATAATCAATTATGTCAGTTTGTAACATACTAAAAATTTATACTTCTCTAGTATATTACTCATCTCTAATCTATTACTCTTAACATCAATTATTATATTTTAAAGATTTGACCCATTTTTAATTTAATTATATCTTACAGCTAAATACCACAGTTATAATTAATTACTATGTTTTAAAGATTTAACCCCTCTTTAATAACTTGATTGTTTCTTATGTCCATATATGCTAGTTTTCCTTATTTAAGAGTCATGGTAATATGATTATTTGTTCTTCTTTCAGAAAACTCAAGTATGGAACTTAAACTTTTCAAATCCAATAGGTATTGCTGCAGGGTTAGATAAGAATGCAGATGCTCCGTCTGGCTTATTTAGGAGTGGTATTGGGTTCTTAGAAATTGGTACTATTACACCTTTGCCACAAGATGGAAATCCAAAGCCTAGAATTTTTTCACTCACTGAAGATGAAGCTTTAATTAACAGGTAAAAATAGAAAAAAGCATCCATGAACTATAAATGCTGCTTTAATTATGTTTCATTGTGTCGCATTTGCTGTCTAGATTTATTAGCTACGTGTTATATATCATTTATCATGTTTTAATTATTTCTATTATTACCCAAAATACAGTCTATGATCTTTAGTACAATTGCCAATTACAGCCTACTTCCATCGAAATTACTGGTACATAAAGTACTGTTTTCTTTTAAAAAGATGCAATGTTATGTTAATATCCATTAGAATGTCCACACTGAACTGTTCGTTTTAATACAGAGACCAAAATTTAGTTATTTGGCTTAGAAAAAGTTTCTCAGAAATTATTTAAATCATTACTTCTTTTGGACACATCTTGAAAACACCTTGAATGAATGATTTTCCCTTTGAATGAAGTATGATTGACATTGCCTTCTAAAATCTTATCTTAAGTTCTAGGTATTCATAATTTATGGTTATTCATAATCTATGTAACTTTATTTTCAAGAGATGAAATAAATTTATCAATCATATTTTTCTTGTTTTAAAATTATATTCAGTCTTTTTGTAAAATGTTAGTCTCCTTATGTTTATTTTTGAGTTAAAACATTAATTGTGGTTATCTTGAGGCGTGTTATTTATCGGAAATGACAGCCCATTTGTATTTTAAAATAAATAATGTTAAATGTCGGGCTGAAAAACTTTTTTTCTGCATTTAACCTTCACTGTTGTATTTTTAAAGTTATGTGACATTTAGAATTTCATCAAAAAAGTTTATTAATAAAATAGAGTAGTGGTTGAGATAAGGTATCCACTTTATCTCGAATATCCATGTTAGTAGTTCCCAGATAGCGTTCTGCAGAACCTTAGGGTTGCCTGGATGTTGGAATTTTTTTGTTAACCTGTACTGACTTTTGAAATCTTTAATTACATTTAAATCGATGAATAATCCATTATTTATTTAATACTTAGTTGCCTTTATAAATCATTTAAAAATGTCAATCTAAAGAAATTGTTTTTTTTTTTTTAAAATGTGATTTTTTTTAACAACAAAATAACTGAAAAGATATAAATCGAAAAAGTTGCATATTTCCCATCACACTTTTCAAATAAATGTAAAATAATTAAATTTGTTAATAAAGAAATATGTTTTCCCTGAGAGCCATGTTCAATGTTTATGCAGGGTGCGTAGCGTTTGTAAAAAGTACTTAAATGTGCTTTTTTGGGGATTTCGTTTTTAAAAGCTTTTAAAGGTGCTTTTTTCAGCTGGTGTTTTTAAAAAGTGCTTTTTTTCCACAAATAATTTTTTTTTCTTCAGTGATATCTAGTAGATCCCATGCATTTCACGAAAAATGGGGTGTTTGCTACGTAATCATTCACGCGGACTTCATGTCATACCCACGTTATGACTTGCGCATGCGGGCACCCTTAAAATCGAAACTCGAGTGCTCCAATTCGGATAGAGAATATCAGATCCTTATGAAATTTTTTTCTTTTTAATTTAATTTAATTTTATTTTACTTCGATCACTTTTTTGACGTAGGGGGTAAGGGTACTTTTGTTCTGAGTTCAGGGTCAAGTTGAATTCACTCGGTGATGTGGGAAAGTACTGATTGTTTTGATTTACATCCGTTTCTTTTTGGGGTTTTTTAACACCAAAACTCTTTATAAAAAGTTTTTGTTTTTCAATAATATCATTGATTGAATATGAATTTTTTGAGTGCTTGAAAATTTTTGTAAAGTGCTTGAAAAGTTTTTAAAAAGTGCTTATTTTTTATTCAAAGATTTGGCTATGCACCTTGTTATGGCAATTATATTTAGTTTAGTTAATTATATTTAGTTAGGAAACTATATTTTGGCTTATTTTATTCATTTTCAGCTGATGTATATATGCCAAAAACAAATGAATAACTAGACTAAACACAGCTTCAGGACTGAGAATTTAATTGTAAGACATGAAACATAATTTAAGATTATTGATGATAAAAGGATGAAAATATTTTCCTTTTATTAAATATTTTCAAAATAAAGTTGTAATCCATTCATACCTGCCAAGTCTCCTGTTTTTTTAACAAAGACTCCTGTATTTTACGACTATCTCCTGTTTGTCCATATATTCTCAAATTTCTCCGTATTTGTTGAATAAATTTTTAAAAAGAACAACTTGGTGATAAAATATTTACTAATCTCGAGAATACTTATTTTCAACAGATTGAGCTATTGCCAGTACTGCAGTACGCTGAGTGTTAATAATTTAAGTTGTGCCGTGATGGCTCAGGAGATAGTGCTTTCGCCTTTCAATGAGGTGAACTGGGTTCTAATCCTAGCAATTATTAGTCGATACGAATTTCGCATCCAGCTTGCGCCGACCACAGAGCTGGTGTAAAATATCCTTAGTGGTGGACAGATCACGGGTTAGTGTGCCCTTGCCGCCAGACTAACCTTGGGAGGTTTTCCTCTCCATGCAACTGAAATGCAGGTTAGTTCCATCAAAAAGTCTTCCACAAAGGCAAATTTCTCCCAATACTTGATCCAGAAGTTCCCTTGTCTTCTGGGTTGGGTTCAAAATTACAAAGATACGGAGTTGAACATTAGTATTCGTAACCTCAAAAATTGGCTCAATTTTTTTTTTTTTTTTTTGTCAACAGTAATGAAATTTGCTTATTTTATTAAACAAATACTTTATTTAGCTTGAAAAATAATTGAATCCATTAACTCTTTATATTTTAAATTTACTTATAAGTCTTTATTTTTAACAAATTGGTTTTTTTTTAATAGAAAGGTTTTACATTTTGCTGATGTACTTAAATTATCAGTGATTAAGAAGTTGAAATACATATATTTATTTCTCCTAGGTGCGGGTTTAATAGCAAAGGGCATAAACATGTTAAACCACGCTTAGAAGCTTGTGATAAAAGAGGTGTGTTAGGTGTCAACTTAGGTAAGAACAAAGATAGCGAATCTGCTGAAGATGACTATGTTAAAGGCATCATTGAGTTTTGTTCTACAGCAGATTACTACACCATAAATGTTTCTAGTCCAAATACTCCCGGATTACGGTCTTTGCAAAATAAGAAAAATCTGGAAAATTTACTTGATAAGGTATAAGTTTGTTTTTTTTAATCTACTATTAATTTATGTAGTTAAATCTTTATAAAGGTCAATCTGTCCAAGCAAGCCACAGTGGTTCAGGGGATAGAGTTTTCACCTCCCAGTGAGGTGACTCAGGTTCAATTCTCAGCACTGGCTTGTTGATACAAATTCTGCTCCTGGCTCTCACTGACTTAAATTCCTTCAGTGGTGGAGAAATCATTCCTCTCCATGTAACACAAATGCGGGTTAGTTCCATCATAAAGTCCTCCACGAAGGCTAGTTTGTCCCAATGCTTGATCCAAGAGTTCCCTTGTCTTTTGGGTTGGGTTTTAAATTACAAGGCTGTGGAGTTGAACTTTTATGGCTCAGAATTTGGTGTGCCGTTCATTGCCGGTTATAAAATAAAATATAAAATCTTTCTAAGCTTTGCGTTTATTTTTTGCTACTAGGGATATGTGGAAGGAGCACTTCTCTTAAATTAAAAGATTGAATGAATCTTTTTTGTTGATGTAGTTGGTATTTTTCTTGAGTTTTTTTTAAACAATATTAATGTTAAAATTTCTATAATTTCATTAATTTACCTATATATTAATTAAAATACATAAAAATCATAATTTTAAAGTAGAAAGGTGATACTAACAGTAAGGCGAACTTCCGAAAGGTCAGTTTCTCTTAGGTCTCAGCAGATTGGAATATCATTTAAATTTTTTGGTGTTGTAAATGTTCATAACTTAAGTAAAATTCTTAATTGAGATATAATTTAGTTGAATGCTTTTAATTCTTGCACATTTTAATTCAAACATAATTACACTTATATAATTCACCATTAAAAGTCAAACATCATATGCATAAACTATTCTGTTTCAACAATGCTGAAATAAATATCAGTGATCTTTATAATTGAATATTTTGATTGATTTTTTAACAATCTATATTTTGTTGCTGCCCAAGTTACCTTTATCTCTATTTTTATTTATTTATTTATTTTGAGAGAGGGAAAGTAATTGTATGTGCACAATAGGGAAAGGAGAAAAAAAATTCACATCAAATTTTTCCCATTCTAATGAAAATTATTGTTAAATAAATATTGTTGTATGTTTATACAGTAATTGCAACATTAAAATTATTTGTAGATTCTTGAAGCTAGGGAAAATTGCTGGAGGAAGCCACCAATATTACTTAAAATTGCACCAGATCTGTCATTTGAAGAAAAAAAGGATATTGCGGAGGCTATTTCCAGGAAAGGGGTAACATATAGAATTTTTGTTATCATTTAATATGTTTAGGCATTTAATTTATTTTTAACATTTAATATATTTTTAACATTTAATGTATTGTGAATATTTCATTGAACTTTTTTAATTTCTACTTCTGAACTTTTTTAATTTAGAGTTTAACTGAGAATAAAAATTTAGAAAATGGAAGTAAACTTATTAGTTTATGAGTCTCTATTTTAATAGCATATTTATTTTTAATAGCAAATTTAGTATTCGAAATATTACATTTTTAACTTCAAACATCTGGGCAGTTTTGTGTATATTTTTCTACCCTATTCACTGTGTTTCAATTGTTTAATAGTGAAGCATTAAAAAATAAATAAATGAAATTTAGTCATGCATTCAGAAAGTTATATTTGCTAACAGTTTTAGTTTTCTTTAGGTATATATTTTAAGGGTAAAACTGCTCGATTTGTTAAGAAAAAAAATGACTTGCATTAATTACTTTTAAAAAGTAATGAGTAAAAGTACAAGTACTTTAAGCAAGAGTAACGAGTAAAAAGTTTTGATTTTAAAAGTAAGTAAGTATAAGAGAAAAAAAAGTAATAATTTTTTAAGTACACTTCAAGGAAATCAGAAATTCAAAGTAAGCGTAAATTTCATAAAAATTTGAGAAAAATTTATTTAAAATGCATTGAATTTTAATTTAAATATATAAAACTTTAAAATGCAGGTAAATGTTACAAAATTCTATTAAAATAGTGGATGTTGAAAATATCTAGAAACCAAACCAGAAATTAAAAATTTAATATTTGCATTTAACTAGAAATTTTAAATTATGTTAATTTTAAAACTATTAAATCTTTAGAAATTTTTTTTTTTAACTTTTGGAATTTGTAGTATTAAATTAAGAAATATAAAAAAAGTTATTCATATACAAGTAAAAAAAATCCAAGTAAAAATTATATTTGAAATTTATAAAAGTTATAAAAATATTTTTAGAATTTTAAATAATAATGGCTTTTTAATTTGTTGTTATTTTTTTAATAATCAAAAATTGAGCAAAAAGGTTTTATTTTTAAATTTATTCTTATGATAAACTAAATTTTATATAGTAAAAAAACAAATCTATAGTTAACAAAAATGTTGCTTGTGAAAATTATTGGATTTGGGCATTTTTCAAATAAAAAACAATAGATAATTCATATAAGACAGCAGAGGCATATCCAGAGGAAAAAGTGCTTGTGGGGCGAATCATGATTTGGCACCATTCAAAAAATATTATATTTTCTATTTTTTAAAATCCAAAAGGAAGGCGTTTGACGAATTTAATCATTTTGGTTGCATTGTAAAAGATTATATTAAATAATCAAAAATTCTAATTTTAATTATATTTCATTTATGCATAGAATTAAAATCTAAACTCATTACAAAATACTTTTGTCTTTCATAATTATATCAGTATGTACAACTTACTAATATAATGAAACAAACAAAAGTATAGACAACTTAACTAATATAATGAAGCACAGTTAAATTTTAATGTTTTTCACAAATGATATGGTTAGAAAAATCTTGCTCTTAGTTTTTTTAGAAAGGACAGGTACATAATTTAGAAATAAATATCACTCATTATTAGAGATTAAAAAGGAAGCTGTTATTTGAAGAAGAAAAAAATCATTTTTTTCTAACAGCAAAATAATAAAAATTTAGGAATCTTCTGACTATATGTATTCTGATGAAGTCAAATAAAATTCTCACGATATTATAAACTAAAATACTCAATACAAATAATTACAACCGATTAAGACAATTTTTAATAAAAGTATAACAATTAAACTGCCTATTTTGTTAAATTTGTTACTCATTTAAATTATAATTGATATTTATATAACAATCTTCTTGCATTCAAAATAAAAATAAAAAATGCCTTATCTTCCTTTTGTAAATGTTTACAAAATATTAAAGCGTTCAACGCTATTTGTATTGCAAAGAACAATTTGAAAAGAATCAATCATTTGCTTGTTATCTATTAAAAATGCTTGTTTTTACTATTTTTCTAAATATGTACTATGTGTATAGTAAAGAGTGAACACCCTGATTCTTAAGATTCAATCTTAATGATACTCAGGCTTAACCTTAACTATCTTAGTTAATTAGTGCAGGCACAATATTTTAAATAACGAAATCAGACATAACCTACTTTCTTTGAAGATACAACCTTTTTTGCCATGAATTTGGATTTCTGAAATTCGAAATATATGGGTTAGCAATTATCAGGAAAATATAATCCTAAGAAAAATATAATCCAGGAGAGCTATCAAAAGTTTAAACCGCTCAATGTTAATTCAAATTTCTGAGTATTTCAAAATACTTCGAGAACAGGTTAAGCAAAAGTTTTGCTCACAGCTATAAAATTGAATAATCCGAAGATAATTCCATATAAAAAATAATGTTTAATAAATATTTATTATTTTATTAAGTAATGGTCGCAAAATTTTTTTATTTAAGGAATATAAAAAAGTCTTACATCATTTTAAAGTATCCAATTTTAAATGAAACAATACAAAATTCAAAGGTAATCGGTCTAATAGTTCTCTAGAAATCAAATATTGAATGTACGATCTTAAGGTACAACTCTAAGATAAAGAGATTTTGAAGAGCATTTTTGTGACTTAATATAAGGGTAAGCAATATCAAAGTTTAATAATGTGTTTCTTCCAAAATTTTCTATAGAAATTTTTTTTTTCATTATCAATAAAACTTGAACACATTTATGAATGGAATGAAAATAACTTCTTAGCACTATTAACAATGCCATGTAACAAACACTAGATTGCTTTATTATATTTTTTTAAAATTAGTTGTGATTTTCATAGCTGTTTATTTAATTATAATATTTATTTTTTATATGTCACTGCCCATATTTGAAAATGATTTTTGTCATAAAGATAATTGCTAGATGGAAGGAGGAAGATATTCTTTAGGAAGAGATTGCCAATAGAAAAAAACCCATCAAAATATTTCAAAACTCATGCAATTTTTTATTTTAAAAAGAATTAAAAAAACTTTCATTTATGTTATTGGAAATTTTCAAATACAATTTCAATAGCTTGTTCAATTCTGCTAGACCAAAGGTTTTTAGTATGCAGTTCAGTTTTTTTATATTATGTCAACTGAAAGATTAAAAAATAAATAAAAATTATAACATTCTGAACTACATATAGTATGAGCAATTCAAAAAAAAATTTCTACTGTTGTATTAATCTATTGCGAAACGCAAATCTAGTTGCCCTATAGCATTAAATTTTATATATATATATATATATATATCTGGGCTGGGGGACACCCCATGACTTTGAGTTTCCAGTTACCTTCCACAGCCGCCTTCTCCTTTTCAGGAAATTGCAATCCTTAAAGATGTTTGGAAAAAAGAAGTTAGCTGTTAAAGAATACATAATACATTAAACTTATAAATTTCAAAAAAATTAATAATTTTCAAAAATTTCAGAAAAAAATAACTGAAAAACTAGTAAAAGTAACCAAGTACAAGTAACCAAGTACAAGTAAAAGTATTGCCATGTATGCTGGTGACACACATAAAATAATTTATTTATATTGATTTACAAACATTAAGTGTTTATTATGATAATTGAAAATCAATACTAAACTATACTCAGCGATGCGACAGCCCTAGAGGGCCAAGGCCTACTGTGCCCATCTCAGTTTTCTTGACCTTGTGCTCTGGGGTGCAGGAGCAGATGTTCCGATCAGGTGGTCAGCCGAACGCAAAACCCCCAGTGTTTAGTTCCCAAGCATGCTTGGTACTCATTTATCGACCCACTGAAGGGATTAAAGGCTTAGTCAACCTTGCCCGGTCCAAGGACCGAACCAGGGACCTATGGCACAACAGCGCTACCGCTCAGCCACCGGGCGTCAAAATCAATATTAGATATGGTAAAAAAAAAGCAGCAGTATTTTCAGAAATTCATTTAAATGAATGCAAGCAAGCACCTCCTGTTTCCATATGAACTAATTGAAATTGTTTCATTTGTTTTTAACTCATATTTGCTAATTTAATTAAAATTGAATTTAAATGTCTCAGGTGAAGATATTATTTTATATCTAACAACAAATCCACTATACGATATTTTTCTATAACCAATCTTAAATTTTTATTCTTTGCAGAAGAAAATAGATGGCCTCATTGTATCCAATACAACAATTTCTAGGCCAAATATCCTGAAAAGTGAAGACAAAAGGGAAACTGGTGGTCTTAGTGGGAAACCATTGAAGGATCTTAGTACGAATGCAATCAGAGACATGTTTGCTTTAACAAAAGGTTGAAATCAAATTTTTAATTTTAAATATAATCTTAAGACTATATTTATTAATTTACAATATTTTTAATGCAATCTCAGGTGTCTTTTTAGAAGAATTTTGGGTCCATTAACGGACCCTTCACAAAATATCTTTTCATAAAAACAAACCCTTCACAAAATAATTTATCTTTTAATCGAACCCTTTACAAATTTTTTTATCTTCATTATTGTTTTGTTAATAGAATAAACCCTTCCTGAAACATGGTGTGTGCATTCTTATTAATATTAAATCATAATTTTTTTTTGTAAATAAATAATTGATCAATTTATATTTATTCATAAAATTAATTGAACATTATGTAAATAATAATTAATTTCTGGCAATTTTTTAAATAAAATATTATAAATTTATGAATCGCTTAAGTTTACTTAATACATAACACATTAAAAGTGATGCATAACTAAGTTGTGTTAGTTAACATATGTCAATTGAAATTATTAAAAATGTGAGTGATTTTGTTTCCATTATTCATCTGAAATGAATATTCTGTGTTGAGCAGTATAGGCTAGATACCAAATATTTGTATGTTGCATCTCTAATTTAGTAGCAGCAATTGTTGAGCAGAATCTTGTATCTATTTACAATTTAAAAACTTCTTAAAAAGGTTTTTAGCAATTTTTGCAATAACAGGATCCTATTTGTACGAATTCACAAAAGCAGAACCCTGGTTGAAAGAATGTAACTTAACGCTTATTTTATATTCACAAATTATGGATAGTTTTTTCACAATTTTACAAAACAGGACCTTTCACAAAATCTCTGGGCCCCTGGATGTTATATTGTACTTGTATATATTTATTTTCAGTACGAATATCAAATAATTTTTACTCAAAATAAATATTTTGTGTACGGATAAAAATCATTAAGAATGTAATGTATTATTGAAACAAATTTATGCAAATGTTTTATGATTTATTTGAGTTTTTATGACACGCATAAACTTATTTTCATTCAAAAGTAAATTAGCAAGTATATGAAATTATTTTTCCTGAATAGGAATTTTGTCCTAATATCTGTTATTTTGTTCTCAAAAAATTTTGTATAAAGTACATTTTGTAGTTAAAATTCGTTTCAGGGTTTTCAATTTTAAAAAAAATGATCAGAAGTAATACATTTTTTAAAAGGATATTGAAATTCAATAAATCCTAATAAACTTTTTTAAAATTTAATTGTTAATTTTTAGCAGTATTAGTTTTTTTCAATGTTATTTTACTCAATATCTTGTTTTAAAATTTAGAAATTTTATTCAAAAAAAGTCTGTTTGCATCTAAAAAATATATAAACTTTTCATTCTAAAAATCAAAAAAATTAAAATTCAAAAGGTATTATTTTAGAACCTTTAAAAGTTGTAGTATTAAATTTACTTGTGTAGAATAACAAAAATTTTTTTAAATCTTAATCAATTTCTCACTCATACTTTTTTACTTAATTTTTTTGTGTTATTATTACATTGTGTTTTTTTTGTCGTTTTTGTCATATCTATTGGCTATCTTTTGACTATCTTTGACTATCTATTGACTATCTTTTTAATTTAATTCTCTAAACTCAAAAAACATGAGCTAACTTATTAATGAAGATTGTCGAACAATAAGGGGATGTCAAATTCTATTTTTAAATATTTCTTTTCTTGAACTTCTTACACATTGGAATAAAAAAGCATTTCAATATGTTTGCTATAATTTTTTAATGTCTTTTGGGTTTTTTCATTTAATGCTAAATTATTTGAAAACGCAAATGTGTTATCACTTGTTTGGCTTGAGTAGCTTGACTTTCAACAAAGCTCTTTTTCGATAAATTGTAAATAATGCACTCCCTGTACTTAAAAGCATCTGTTAATAGTATTTTAATTTGAATCCTTGAACTGAAAAGTTGAGATAAAATTGCTTTTAAAAATCTTTTGCTTATTCATTGCAACGAACTTTTTCAAAAATTTAAATATATGTATTCGATACTTGATCTCTTAATAATTATTATACCCTCACTAACAGAAACTGTGAAAATGTTAGAAGCCTGATATTTTATCAGTAAGCTTTTGATAAATTTACAGTAGATCTGAAATGATTGCTAATATTTCTTTTTTGTGTTTTGAATTTCCTATCCTAACATGGTTTTTCAAAACTCTTTTGCCAAGGAAAACAAAAAAGCCACAGTTCAAGTGCCTTACACTTACCTATAATTTTAAACTATATATGCCATCTTGTCATGAAGAATGATATGAGCTTTAAAATTGACAAATAACTTAAATATTTTAAAAGTTATTAAACTTTTTTAAAAATCATTAACTAGGCAACATTTTTCCACCTTTATGAAAATTATCAAAATCCACGCCTACTTCTCTTTTTCTTCTTTTCGCAAAGTGTATGAGCCCAGTTAAGCATTTATATAATAAAAAATTGGGCCGCAAATGCTTTTCATTTTATCAAAATTTTGGCTTTTCTCCATTTTGACGTTTTACATCATTTTTGAAATAAATATAAAGAGTTCTGGCAGAAGATAGGTTAAACTTGACCTAGCAGCCATGAGTAACTGTTGTAAACTCACAGCAGTTATCATAATAGCTTAGTATTCACAAAAAAGCATTTTATGCGACTACAGAGCCTTTGAAAAACAGCCTTCACTGAAAACTACCTCAACGTTACGACCCACAAACAGCTTAATTAAAGTGCTTGACAATAATTTTTTAGCCCTTACTATTAGAACTGCATACAAATAACTTTAAATAATTATCAATTTGAACAAAAATGATAATAAAGTATAATTTTGATGGCAAAGTATTGAAAATTTTGTATTCATATTTGTGTTTTGTATGTTGACACAATGCCAAAGTAATCTTAAAAGTATCGCAGTTACCAATTTTCAATTTATGAAATTTCCATAAAGTAACTTTTATATCGATATAGTCATTGATTGAAAAGACAATTATCTGTTTTACTTTCTTTTAATCAAAATTAATAATTATTATATTTGTTAAGGAGAGATACCAATTATTGGTGTTGGAGGCATATCATGTGGAAAAGATGCCTATGAAAAAATAAAAGCTGGGGCTTCTCTTGTCCAACTGTATACAGCCATAACATATGAAGGGCCAACAGTTATTGGCAAAATCAAAAGAGAGTTAAAAGAACTATTAATGTAAGTATCTACCTACTTTCAGGAAATTGGTCATTACTTTGAATCAGGAATTTTAATGTTTCATTAACTTTGAACTATTTATTAAGAATCCAAATAACTTCTCAATTTTCAAACTTTCTTGACATTTTAAAACTAGCAAATGTGTTAAAACTGCATTTTAAATGTGCTCCCTATCATTTGGGTTACTAGCAGATATGTATAATCTATACGAATGTGCAAACGCCATTCCCAGAAAAATGGTCACTATCACGGAGATTTTTTTAATATTACTAAAAAGAAAAACACATTCCCTAACTCAATGATAAATAATTTTTTTAGCTTCGCGCAGCCACACTTTTTCTGCGATTACACTATTGCATTTTACTTTAAAACATGCTGGTATCAGGGATTAGTTTTTTTCCGATTTTTAAAAATGGATTTTTTTTTTTTTTTTTTTTTTTAAAAAGGAAGGATCATTCTTTTTGAATTTCTAAGAATAGATTCGCTTTTACACTTTTTCCAACCTATACGAACGATATTTAAAATCACACATCGCGATTCATATTTACCCAATATAAGATTGTGTTTTCTATTTCCACGATTTTACATCAACTGATTTGACATTTGGAATTCACGCAATTCAAAAGCCACCATTGTGATTCGTGTTCAAGTGATTTAAAAATTAAATATCGGAATTCGTATTCACATGGTTTTAAAATCAAACATTAGGATTTTAAATAAATAAAAGAAATCTCACGCTGATATTTTTATTAAAATGTTGCTAACATTCTGTGGATAAATGCTTTCTACATATGCTTTTTTCTTGCTCCAATTTCATATGTTTCAATTATTTAAAACGTGTTTTAGCACTAACATTTTTGGCTATCTATTTTTAGCTATTTTTACCAAACTCATCCCTTGTATGGAGTTATATAAAAATTAAAAGATTTTTCAAAAAAATTCACGATTTTCAAACAAATTTTTGCCAAAATGAGGTTACGACGAAAAGGGGTGAAACTTGCAGAAAGTTTTTTAATTATTTGTGTTCACAGAAAGGTTTTCATTTTATCTAAGTCTGGTTACAAGTTTGTTGCAGTATAAATTTCCATGATGATTTCCATAAATTAGTGTGTTTTTTCTAAAATCTGTAAATTTTTTGAAATGCGACTTTTGCTTTAAAGTTATTTAGACTGTGAGATTTTTTGATAATTTATTTTTTTCACTTACATTTTAGCAATTAGTACTTTTCTGAAGTTTCAAAATTGATAATGTATAACTGATAAAATATCAAAGAATAGATCTATAATAAAATAACCAAAAAATAAACCAGAGGTAATCCAAATCCTGTCGAGTAGGTTGACCTTTCTACATCGTAAATAATAAATTAATAATCATAACTTGCCTCTCTTAAGGGCAATAAGAATATAAAAATTTTTTTAAAAAAAATAGTTATTCCCTTCCTTTACCAGGAAATTTATTAAAATGAGGGGGTGACACAGGCTATTGAATTATGCAATGAAATTTCTAAATCTTTTGTGATAAAAAACATATCAGAATGCTGGAAGACAAATTTTTAATGAACACTTATTGAATAATTTAACAATGTACTGTATTTTGAACAAGTATTTGCTCATTTGAAAAAATTATTAATATTGCATAAAATTAAAGGAAAATTTTTTTAGCTGTTTTATAAACTTTTATTTTAATATTAGTATCATATCTAAGTCTATTAGAGCATATATTGTATTTTTTTTATGTCCCTGCAAAATTTGTAAAATTTCTTGCAAATTTCAGCCTTTTATTAAATTGATACAAAATTAATTACAGGTTTCAGAAATCCTAACTGGGCTTTTGTTTTAAAAAAAAAAAGCTTTAACTCACGAAATCCTGTGGTTCACCGGAATACCCTTTGGGAATCGCTGCTAAGAAGGGTATGCCTTTAAGGGTTCTACTATTATTGCACAAGTGATATTTGCCCTGGAAAAAATGTGTTTAAAAGAGTCTATTTGTAGTTTGGAAACTTTAAAGTGAACAGAGTACAATAAACTTTTAAAACCCGGATAGAAGTGGAAAAAATGGCGTTAGAAACAAAACAAAAATATTAAAATTTACGACAATAATTCTTCCAATCCTTGAAGGAAACATGCTGTCATATCCTATTTGTATCTACCTACAACAAAAAATGCTGTTTCAGTAGTTAATATTTTCTTCTTTTCTGATGGTTACTCCAATTCCTAGCTTTTTTTTTAATTATTATCCTTGTGAAATTGCCTGGAGTTTGCTTAATTTTCTTCTTAAAACTATCATAAAACATAGGCACATTTCCTGTCTTTTCTTTTTCTTCTTGCAAGTGTTATGGTCTCTTAAAAGCTTCTATGAGTTTACAAAGAAGTAAGTGCCAGAAATATGCCTTTCCAATTAGCACTGTCCGCTAAATTACAGTTGAGTCTAGGTAATTTGCGTTTCCCATTAATCCGAGCTAGTGAGAGAGAAAAAAACAGTCTTGTTCCCAAATAATGACCAATGCATCTAGCAATTACTATGACTTAATGTTGAAAAATGAAATTACAGTTAGCAATCATGTCATTGATGATGACAATTTGCCATTGTTCAGCCTGATAAAAAATATTTCCAGTTTGCAAAAACACCAACATTACAGCGGTAGACGAAATAGCGAGTGGCTAAGTAGTAATGAGCGATTAAAATTTACTAATGGGGCGATCGTAGAAATGATCAAGGCTCCGGCAATGCAAGAGGACAGTGAAAAGGAGAATCCGGCAGATGCCATGAAACGAATGAGTCACAGCAAGGGTCTCGCAGCTCAATAGTCTGCAATGTGATACTAAGAGCAACTGCTCTAGGAAACTCTAGCCAACAGTATGCCATTTCGACAATGGTGCAATATGGCTGCGCAAAAAAGGAGCAGTATATTTAAACAAAAAACATGAAACAACTATTTTAAAGTACAATTAACCTCATGCAGTAATATAGTTAATAATGTAACTTGGTGTAAGGCAATAAATGCACCCTGATCCTCTAAGATTAGTAAATTTTCTTTAAATATAAAATATTTTTCAATTGCATACTGAAATTTAAAAATTGGTTTGTATCCATTTACTTAAATATTCATTAAATTTGCTTCCGATAAGTCAAGTTTTCAAAAGTTTGAGGTAGGCTCGGTCCTATCCACTTTGAATTATCGAGACTCTGGTCTATCACTAACTTCATTAAAGGCATACATATTAAACAGTTTTCCATGGGGTCAAGGAAAAAGGCAAAAACCTTGAAAATAATCTTTTTCAAACTGATAATGTTCAAAGCTTGTGTAAGATGTAGTAAATAAATCTAACATATATTTTCACTATTTCTTTTAAAAGCTCTGTTGCAATGTGTTTTTTTTTTTTTTTTTTAAAGAATTGTTAAAATTTGAATAAAATGTAAAAAGTACTCTTTACATAAAAAGTTTCTTGTTTTAAATTTAACTTATATACAATCATTATTGTGGTTCATTAATATTAAGCTAAGTTTTTAAAAATTGAACTTTCTTTATAAATTAATTTTGGCTGAAAATAGCAGACCACAGACTCATAAGATTCTTAATAAAAAGAAAATTTTTAATTTTTGCATTTTCTGTGCAAAATATTGCTTTTTGTATGTAGTTTGAATGTTGCAAAGCCTACATATTAAATCTTTGTTGTCAAATTTTATTTTTTGCAAAGATTAATATTTCACAAATTTTGTTGCCCATTGAATTAAAAAGGTATTATATTTTGCAGAGTACAGAAAAATTGCAGAGTACAGTAAAAATGTAATCTAAAGTTGTTGTTTTTTTCTTTCTTTAAATTTCCTAAAAATCCTAGAAAGATTAGTTTATTTCTAAAATTTTGGGGTAACTGTGTATGAAGCTTTTGTAAAGGAATAAAAACTTGGGACAGAAAATATTAAAATAAGAGATAAAATGATCACTAAAGTAAATAAAATTAATAGGATGTTACTCACTTTTCAACAGGTGTTGCAATTACGTGAGTGTCCACTCTGATAATATTGAAAAACGTTATTTAGATTATTTATACTAACTTGTGTTTTTCCTTGCAGATCTGACAACTTTTCAAATGTCAAGGAAGCAGTTGGAGTTGATAGTAAAAAGTAAACATTTTAAAATAAAAACGATTGAAAGGTAAAAAGTGAATCTTTTTAAATAACTGTATAGAATGTGATATGTATTTATTTACTATTAAAAATATATATTTATTAGTTTTAAATAAACATATAAAGGTCAATATTTTTTTTACATTGTTGCAAGTTATTTACTATGAATATGTACACCTTTTTTTAATTTTAAAAAAGTCAACCAAATAAAATAATCAAACAAAATATTAAAATGTAAAGGGGTGATATTGAAATTGTGTAGAATTGATCCAACAAAATAAAATTTTCAAGCTCCAGCAGGGAAAGAAATCAGCAGATAGGCCACTCCATTAGATATACTGCACATACCAAAATTTTAGATTTTAAATCCTAAACTCCACAATGCGTAACTGAGCAAAATTATGGTAAAAGTTTTAAAATGTTTTGCTTAACAGGTTGAGTACAAATTAATCAGTCCCAACTTGCTTTCTATCTGATAATTCAAACTCAAATTATCAGACCCTATGATTTGAATAAAAATGTTTTTAATCATGTAGGTACTTAATTTTAATAATTTTCTAAACTAAATACAGAATAACAATACATAAATTCTTAAAAAACTTTATTACATTATCATATAACGATAAAGTATGATTTTAGAAGTAAAGAATGTCTAACATCCTGTTGAATACTATGATAATATTGGCATATTAAATCATACAGATTTCATAACATAGCAACGTAAATGTTTTGAAACGTGTTACATATAATATTTTGTGTTATACAAAAATTATTAATAATTAAATTTAATACTTTTTTTACTCATGAAAAAACAGTACAATTTTGTAATGCAAAATAGAAGTTTATGACATTTTCACAAGAAATTTAATTACCTATAAAGAAAAACTTTTTAACCTGAAAATATGTATATAAGCTGGAGTATTGTGGTTATTTTTCAGGTACATTAATTTCCCATAAAAGAAATTTTTGGGCTTTGTAACCTTCTACCCCAACTTTAATAATTATAAGTTTAATAAATACAGTTAAAGAGCAATATATTTATGAAAGCCTTGCATAATTTTCTACTAAAATGGAAAAAATAATTAACTACATAAGTAGAGCATCAAAATCCTGCTAAGACTTCATATTTGCCCTAATGCTATTAACAACTTATGTTGATTACGGATACTTAAGTATTATTTTTAAAAAAAGTATTATCACTAAACAAAATATTTGTTTATTTCCTTAAATTAATTCTTATTAATGAAAGGGGTAGATAAATTAAGAAAAAAGTTTGTTAATTGACTGACTTGATCCTAAAAAGCTGCAATTAATTATTACTATCTAATTGTGTCTAAATAAAAATGGAATTAATTGTTTTTGTTGCATCACTATATTTTCCAAACATGAAAAAACTAAACTGTCTTATTATATTCTTCAAATCTTTGATGTGAAATTCCATACAGAATTTTTTTAAAATATAATACTACCTATGAAATAAGTCAGTTTCACTCATAAACCTTTAAATGTGTGTAATTGTCAGAGTTAATATACATAAATATTGTACTATTTTCTAATTCTGCAATATTTTTCATAACATAATTTATAGAGGCTAGACAAGAACCATATAAGCATATTATAAAGTTGTTTTTTTTTTCTTCAGTTTAACAAAAGATGCTACAGTATTGTATTAACTGATTTAGCTTTAACTGAAACTATAAAAATCTTACAAGAAGTTTACAACATTTCAGTGTACTTTAAAAAATGAACATATTAACCAAATACAAATGGTTGTGTATTTAATGTTACTTATAAATAAAAAATAATTATAAGCTTCATTTTAAAATCCTTTTGTCTAACATATTGAGATTATCAAAATGTGACAACTAAAAACTATAACACTTTTAACAAAAATTTTAAATTTAATGAAATGAACGAATTCCACTTTGCACAACTATGTATTAGTTTACAACTTATCTATGCACTATATTAGAAACAGGGTTAGGAAGAAACCTATTTCTTCTAGGACATTAGAAGAAAGTGGGAAAAAAGCAGAAGATACTAGATGAAATGAAAGAAACTGAAGTTGACCAATGCAATTTTTTAATAACTAGTAAATAATTAATTCAAATTTAAAACAAATAAAATTTACTATAGTATTAAAAAGTAAAAATTTATTAAATTTAATCATAAAAAAACTACTTGCGTATTTATTTTAAATTTATACAGAATTTTAAAATCTATATATATGACAATTTAATTTATCTTTATTTTCTTAAATAATTGTATTCAATTAAAGCTAGATGGATCATTAATGCTTACATTATTTCAAGTTTGCTGAATATTCTGTTTAAAAATAGAATAATCTTAAATATAAATATGTATATATATATTCATTGAAGGTTGAAAATTATTGCAATGTTCTAGTTTTTAAAGGCTATTGTACATTTTAGTAATTTAAGATATTATTTTGTTTTTAATTAATTTTCTTTATTAAAAATTAGTTATTTAATAAGAAAATAAAAAGTATTTTTCCTCCTTAAATTTATAATACCAGTGAATCTCTTAACAAAATGTGGAGGAAAAACCTTAGCTATAACTTTTGTTTTTCAAAATAAGTAAAATTTTATAGAATTAGTCATTGATCTGGAAATAAAAATTTTTGCTTAAAAGTTCTAGCATTCTATAAATTAAAATTAACTAATAAATTTATGATTAACACTTGAAAGACTGAAATTTAGTATATACCTATATTGCCCAAAAACAGTCAAAATGACTGCATTGTGAAAGAATAACTAATGTGTAAAGAAATTTGTTTAATTAATTTTTAATATTATTTACAGTTATATAGCAAGTTATTAGTAAATATTAACAATAAAGAAAATTTTCATTTAAAAAGAAAATATTAATTTATGCATTATTATTTGTACATTTCGACAAAGCAGTTAAAAAAGCAGTCAAAATGACTTCATTTAGGCAACCTAGTGTTAAATGCAAATTGTATTAAAAATGTGTATAGATAAACATCTTTAGGATACTGTGTAAGAATTGTTTTCAGTATTCATACTTAACAGCATTTGTTTGTGAAAATGTGTGATTTGTAGTATAATACAATGATATATAATTTGATCATGGTATTTTAAAGTTCTACTATAATACTCTTTTATGTAAAACATTCTAAGAAACAACCATTGTTTTCATTTCTTAAAAACTTCATACATTCATTTTCTTTCTAATTTTCACATATTAAAAGTAATTTATTAAATGACTTGGAAATACTATTTTTTAAATTAGAAACTGTTTAAAATTTAAATTTAATACTTTCTACATTTTTATTTAAAAAAAAAAGAGTTTCTCCCACTTCAGTTGAAAGAAACCTATTTCTGTCAGGGCAATTTTTTCCACTGTGAAGAAATTTGACATTCCTGAATAGAAATATTATAGTTTCAAGCTCCATTCAGTTATTCAAATAAAGAGAATTTAAGGCCAATAATATTTATGTGATCTGCATATAGTGTTGAAAAAAATATTTTTATTATACTACATGTCTTGTGATCAATTTAAGAATAAATTGATCATAAAATAAATAAGAATAAACTGAATGTTATCCAAAGTGTCACACTAATCGGGTTGAATTTTTATTTACTGATAAATTTTTTTCTGGTTAGAAAACAAGAAATAAAATTTATTTTGAAGCAAGTATGAAGTTAAATTTCAAAATAACAGTTCATTTGAATTTAAAATTTTGTTATTTTTTCTACTTTTAAAAAAATTGAAACTACAATTATATAAAACAATAAGATCCATTGTCACACATGCAGCAGAAACTTAGACTACCACTCAGAATGAAGAAAAAATACTTTTAAGAGAAAGATTCTCAGGAAAATATATGGGCCAATCAAAGATGGAGAATTAGGAGTAATTTAGAATTAAGTAAACTATATAAAGAATAAGATATAGTAAATTTAAAAAAAAAAAAGAATACAATGGCTTGGAAACCTGGAGCGAATGGAATGAGTGAGGAAAGAGCAACATAGAAAATCTATAAAGGAAAGCTAGAGGGAAAGAGATAGGTTGGACGCTCTAGAAAAAGATGGCTTGATGAGATCTGAAGAAAAAAATGAGAATCAAAAATTGGAGGATAAGGGCCAAGGACCGGAAAAAGTGGAGGTGTGTGGTAAAAGGAGGCCAAGGTCTTTCATGGACTGTAGAGCCGAGGAGTAAGGAAGTATTCTTTAATCACTTACTTAGGACGTAATAAATCTAAAATATTTGCTAACTTAATTTTCAATAATTTATTCCTAGCAAGAAAAAAAAATATCAGCCTGATTTGCAAGCGACACTTTGGGCACCATCTTTGTAAGTTTACTTCATTTTGGCTTGGTTTCTGCAGCAATTTTTTTGTAATGAAATCAAGGTTGCTTTAAATTTCTTCAGTCAAACCTTTAATATGTTTTGCTACCAAATTTCAATAAAAAAACATTTATCACAGAGGATTTGAACAGCATTTTAAAAAAAAAGCTTCAATATGGAAATCAAACTAATATGACTAATATTAGCAGAGGTCTTGGCAAGCCAACCCCAATATAAACAGATAACTAAAAATGTGATAAATTTTCTTTGAAACGATAAAAATAAATTATTGACACAGCACTCAAATATTTTTATCGTAATACTATTTGATATATAAAATAATTTATTCAATTGAATTCCTTTAACACAATTGTCAGCACTAAGTCATTGCAACAAATTTAAAAAGAAAAAAAAAATTCAAATCTTTTTAATCCTTATGAAATATACTGACACTAAAAAAATTCATTTAATTGATTCATTGAACCAAAGTTTACCCAATTTTTATTTAAATCATCACAACAAAAATAATTGCCAATCGTCAAACAGAATTGAATGAATAAATTTGATGTTGATCTTTAAAAAAAAAATGATTTTTGTACATTATGTGCAATAGTGGAAATAAACATATGACAGTTAGATAAATACTTAACACCATTAAAACTCATTACAAATGTACATAAGCCAATATACATATTATATACAGTGCATGTATTGCAACAAAAAAGAAAATCATAAGGCTCTTGAGGAAACAGCAGGAACAGTATAAAATGCTATGGTGTAAGGATTTTTTAAGTCATCACTAGTCAACAATGAAACAGCAGCTTTCCATTCTTGAAAACAAATTCTTGAGCTCTGCAAATATCAGTTACATTAAAATTACAAACAAAAAAGGGCTATATTTATTGTTCTATGATGTTCTGTGCTTGAAACACACAGGTGAAGTAAAACAAATTTTTGGTGTAATTATAGAAAGCTTTAATTGTGATTGTTTAAACTTCAAATATAAAATTTCCCAAGATTGCCGAAGCTAGAATTATATTACTTGCATTTATCGATACAGCATTATGAACATACAGTCACATATCAGAAAATATACAATCACATAATCTAGTTCAAAACCACCACAACCGGAGATTTCTGAACCCCTAAACTAAAACAAAAGGGTTATGAATGGAGTATATCTAGTCATAGTCTATGAAGATTAACAGCCAGTGTTCAAAACATTTTTTTCAGAAAAGGGACCACTGTTAGTTCTTTTTATTAAAGATTATACAACACTGAATCATCAAATAAATCATATTAGTAAAACACATTTCTCAAAATATTTACTTCTATAATTTACAATACTGAATATATGGTATGAATTAGGCCTGTTTTTTCTCATAATGATGTTTTAGCTGTCGTTTGCTAAAGTTAAGGGTTTACAGCGGCTTTATTGCCATTGATACTGAAAATTAATGTTCACTTTATAGTGATTAATCCATTGCTTGATAAATGAGGAAATATTATCTAACAGGACTCCCACGGGTCAGGAAAAACCTGGAATTGTCAGGGAATTTTATTTGAACTCTAAAAAACAGGGAAACTTTTTTTTAAAAAACAGGAAAATTCCTATATCATACCTGGAAAATAACCAGCCTTAGAATTGTCAGTAACAGTAATCACTTATCGAGATTCAAGTTAAATAGTTCTAACATCTATTATAATTATTTTATAAAATTCCTTTTTTTAGTGAAACTTTTCCATGTTTCACAAAATCTAATGTTTGACATTACAAATAAAGTGATAAATTGTTTTCTGATGAAAAATTGCATGGTATAATAGATAAGATATGGTATGGATTTCTATTGAAATTTACCTGATATACTGGTAAGTAAGCATCTTCTGATTTTTATTTACTCAGAACAAATGTAGAACTCATTTTAAAGATCACATAAAACTACACTTGCTGGATACACTTATATTTTAACATTACAATTAAAAATAATTTTTACAATTTCTCAAAATAAATAAGTGAAATAATTATCTTTTTCAAAAATTCCAGGCTTTAAAATTATTCCACTACTTTTCAATCTCAAGACTAAGTATTTAAACCAATGCTACAAATTCTTAGTAACTTTTCTATAGCAAAAGCTTACACTATATCATATAGTTATAACGAAATAAACTTTTCTGCTCTATTTTCAAAAAATGAGTAAAATATGTGATAAACTAGATGCAATCCCAGACTAAGGTGAATTGATTGCATTAATAAAAATTTCAAAGCTCTGAGGGCAAACAAGAAACTTTAAAGAAGAGCTATGCCCACAAGTACTGTCGCATTACAACAGATTACAACAACTTAAAATACATTATTCTAGATTTATAAAATTTAAACTATATTATTATTATGAAATAGAAATTCTTTGTTCATCTTAACTATTTTTTTAAAAACATGCAAAAGAAAATTTAGTCAATTATATTAAAATATGCTACTATTGTGTTGTTATATATGTATATAAAGAAGAATGAAACTAAAACATAATATGTAAAAAAAGGAACGTACTTTCTCAAGTATTGTGCAGTCTTTATCTTTTTGTAAGTAGTGATCTTGCCAAAACAACAATAAATTTTTCAAGTTATCTAAGAGTCCAGCAAGATTTGTTGCTACAGAACAATCTTCTTGATTTGATGCCAGGCATTGTAGATATTGGGGAATTTCTCCTTTTTTAAGTCCAAACATTAGAATAACTAACACAGTATTTAGACAGCTTACATTTTCCTACAAGAAATGTTCATTATTATGATACGATTAATATTGGAAATAATTAAAGTAACTAAATTCGATAAAGTTAAATAAAATAGTTTCATGCCCTCTAATTCAGAAAAAAACTTCAGCAAGTTTTAAATTACCTTTCAAAAAGATTTTTTTTCACAATGCATTTCAAGAAAACTAAACACTAAACAGGATATGAACATTTCAAAATTTGTTATTAAAACCATATGTCTAAGGATTGCTAATAAAATAACTTTTTGAATTTTGTTCGTTTCCAAATATAAAAATAGAAATGTGGAATTTATACATAAAAAATAGAAATGTGGATTGGGCAAATAAAAGAAGCAGATACATGAAATGTCCGGAATTAGCATATGCTAGAATTAAGCCAATCTTGTTCAAGTAAAGGTAAAATGTAGATGAAGTGGTTAAGTTTTTTAATATTATAAATTTAAGAAATTTTCAGGTCCTTTTTCCAGTAAATTTTTCCTTACTATTACCATTCTTATAAATAGAATGTCTTTGTTTCTTGTGACCTCTTTTAAGAAGATTAGAAACAATATTAATACAAATTATTTTATAGAGGAAGAACATAACCTATAACCTTATATATCATAAAAACAATGCTTTGCAGCGAGTATCAATATAATTGTACAAAAATGTTAAACTAGAGTTATTAATATGTGTAATAAAGTTTAACATTATCTTTGGATTGTTTATCATGTATTAAAAGTTTTTATACACTCAGGGAGGGCTAGTTTTGAACCTAATCTTGCTGTCAGAAGACAGAGTGAGTGTTTAAATTACAAATTTAATACAGCGAAAGAAAAAAAATTTGAATTCCACTGTAGAATACTTCTAAATAACAAAATGTATATACCTAAACACATTTAAAATTTTCTTTTTTAAAATAAAGGTAGATTATTTAAACTATACCTGAGTCAAGTTATGTATGTTGATTAAAGACAATAATCGCTGCAAATATTGTATTCGTGACCTTTGGAGACCCACATGAGACAACAGAGGATTAAATTTCTCTGCATAAGCTAGAAATAAAAATGATTAGATCATAGTAAAAATAGAAATTTCAGTGTTTTCAAATGTATATTTCAAACTTTTCGTTCAGCTAATTTTTAGCATGTTTAAGAAAAAAGATATTTTAGTGAAATTATAAGTGATTATTTAAGTGAGTGAAGATTATAAGCGAAAATAAAATTTATAATTAAGTATTTGAGAAACAGGAGAAAATCACAGGGTTGTAAATAAAATAAGAGAATTTTTTTTAAAAAAAATTGCATTTTAAGACTTCATAAGAACACATGAATTAATTTTTCCACTTTATCTAAGTATAGCAAAACAACACTTATCTATAAGATACATTGGACTGCCCCATAACTATAATTTATAAACCTTGTAATTCAAGCCTTACAAAAGTCATTTGTTAAATCATAATTTAAATTGTAGCTCATTATCAATTTTATAAGAAAACACATTGTGTCAAAGGACATGACATTGTAATGTTTTGCTACACTTCAACATTTTTCTTGAATGTTTTTTAAACATATGTGAATTTATTTTAATATTGTATTAAAATAATATTGAACCTAAATGCCAATGCTTTTATTACTTTTGTATTAAGAATAATAAATAATTCTTGATACAAAATGGCTAAAGGCATATTGATCAAATAAAAAAAGGACCTTTCATATTGTAATTTTTAAAAAAAACAGTTCTGAATAATATTGCTGGGTTATTTTATCCTTACTGATACAAACTGCAACTCTAGAATGTGCTCAAAATTGTTTCATCATACCTAGAAATCGCATTTTTTTATGTGAGGTATAAACATAATGAATATGATTTATAGTGCATTATAAATAAGAAATGTTATTAAATAGTTACATACATTATAAAATTAAATGATACATTATTTTTTAAATAATAAAAATTACACTAATTGAATAATCACTATCAATTGAGCAAAACTTTCTACACTTAATTGGAAGCTACTAAAATTTATTATTTAAATTAACTACCAAATCATAATTGGTATATTATTAATGTACAACTTAAATATCAATTGAAATGTGACATTTCAAAAATAAAGAATTCTTTACCTTTCAAATCCTCATCATCTGAAGAGATGAATATTTCATATGAAAGTATAAGACTTCGTATAAACATATTTGAATCAACCAGATGACCATTCATGAGATTCATTAATTTTTTCTGGATCTACATAGTATAAAAACTTTAATGAATACAATGATTCATACAATTATTTTCTGTTGACGGTAAGTGGTAAAAACATAAAAATGTTTGATTTCTTCAAATTATAATATTTCTTTTCTAATTGTATATAAACTATATCATCTTTGAAAATCTTTCCTCTTCTTTTGTACTAGTTAGGCATTTCATAGCTAACTAAAATGATGCGTTAGTTTTGCCTTTCAACTTTTGCCAACCCTTGTTAGTTAATACAAGTAACTACAAAGAAAGAAGTTCAAGTAAAGGGAAAAATTTAATTTTGCTTTTTTAAAATTAAAATTTCTGGCAATTCTTTGAGATTTCGACTTTTTGTGATTTTGAAACTTCTGCTACTCATAAATACAAGTTTTACCAAAATTTAAAGTTTTTATTGTAATTCCAGTTTTCTTTTATACTTATATACAAAGAATGGAATCAATAATTTTTCTAACTTATGAATTAAATGATTTTAGCTAACTAAAATTATATTGTGCATTAGTTTTTCCTTTCAACGTTTGCCAACCCTAGTTAGTAAATACAAGCAACTTCACAGAAGGAAGTTCAAGGTAGAGGGAACATTTTATTTTGCTTTTTAAAATTAAAAGCATTGTAATTCTTTTAGTTTTTGACTTATGATTTTGAAACTTTTATTAATCATGAATATAATTTTTATCTAGGTTTAGGCTTTTTATTTTATATCCTGTAATTTTCTTTTATAGTATCTGTTAACTTATAAGTTAACAGATATTTGCTTTGTAACATATTTTTAGAAATACCTTTTGCTGATAGAAAATACACATCCTACTCATATTTTGAAACTTGTTACAAAATCCAAAGACATCCTGTACTAATTATAGTACATTTTATTAAATTATGAATGGAGGATAAAAGCTGCTTTACAACTTACTGTCTTAGTATAAAGAAAGAATGGTGGTGCATGTCCATATTACATCAAGGAATTAGAAGGAAATTCCAATCATTATATTTTTGATTTATAACCTACTTTTCTCTTAAGTTTAAAAAAAAACTTATTAAAGGGTTAAGAAAATTTTTAAAAAGTTTTTAACAGATTATGACAAAAAATTTTTAAAACATTTTATTTTGTTGTATATGTTAGAAATTTTATTCATTATTAATAAAGATTAAAAAGAATATGAAATATAAAAGAAGGTAGAATGCAAAACTCCTGATATATGATGTGGATGCATCATTCTAAACATTTAGGTATCCATATCATTTAATAGCATAAATTTTCTACTAACCCTGGGAGTATTTATAATCTGAGTATGCAGCACATGAAATGCAGAAAAATTGAACTTCACGAGTTCTCCTAAAAGATCAAAGCTACTCTGTAAAACTTCTTTATGCCTCACAGTAGTATTAAGAAGAAGATTTTGGACAACATCCTAAGGAAAAAAATTTAATTTAAAAAAGCTGCAGAATAAAATAAAATTATAACTACTGTTTCATAAGAAATAGAGTAATAAATAAACTGTGATTTTTCCTCGTTGTGTTTTGATGTATATACCTCTAGCAAATTCCTACGCAGAAGAAAATCTTGATCAGCATTACAAAAACTTCCACGCAAAAAACTTTCAATAGCTCTAGAAAGCCAAAATCTGAAAAAATAATGTATAAATATATATGGTTCATTATAGCAGATAAAATATTTCCTTCATAACAATAATCAGATAATTCATACAAGATTTATAAGATTGAGTAGCTGACTAAAATTCATTACCTATTCTCACAATAAGTTATAAAGTTGCATAAGATTATAAAGATATTTAACTAGGTACAGAGAACATGGTATTTGACTCATGAATATAAATTGGAATGACTTCAAATGTGTGAAAATTTTCTTTCCACTCTGATCTCTTTACGCTTTTTCTAGTATAACAACCTATACATTAAGACCCATATGTTATATGTTTAAAAGCACACTGTAATACCAAACTAGCTGATCAATCCATTATAGTGAATTAAAAAAAAAAAAAATTATTTTTTTATTTCCAAGATTATTGCTTCAAAAACAAGTGTAAAATATCTCTTTAACATACAAAACAAAACAAAAAAATACTCCTGTTAAAAAAGAATCATCTGATATAGAGATATAAATTTTTTAAACTATTATTACTTTTAAGACATTTAAATTTCTCTGAACTTCAAACAATAAAGATTGAACATCTTGAATTCTCTTTGAATAAAACTGACCAAAGTAAAACCTACCAAGATTCTTATTCTTGTAATATCAGAATGGTGGGAAAATATTTGTCACTTATATAAAACTAACTAAAAAAAACTTAGTACTAAAAAAAATTTAAAAACGAATCACTGGATATAAAAATCTGCATGATATCCTGCATAAATTCATAAGTTTTAAAAGTTGTGTCCATCTTTGCAAAAAAAAATTATGAGTGAACAATGAATTTTATCAATCCTATTTTTCTTAATCGCTTTCAAGAAGTTTATTTTCGAGTAACATGTATTATTCACATACTTACTCGGTTTTGGCTCAGTATCAAAGTAGAGAGTGCAAAATATTGATATAACAATGTGCATAAAAATCAGAATGCCTGAATCACTCATAGTTATCTCTCTTATTCTATAAAAATAGAACAAGCAGATATTTCTATCCCAAGCAGCAATATCAAATTGTCATAAGTGAATTTTTGAATAAAAAAATACCCTCCATGCTAAATTTTTTTCTTACACTCTTATTTGATGCTGAAAAATAATATATTATGAGTAGAGTGGTGCTTAGACCAACTTTAAAAAAAATGAAGACGAAATATAAAAAAACAAACATATGTGTTATATTAAAACAATTTCAAAGTTTAGTGTAAAGAAGTTACAATTAACTTTAAAAAAAATTAAGTCTACGTAAACAAGGAAATTCTAACCTAAAAGTGGAAGCACCAGTTTCTTTTTTGATAACTTCGACAATCTTACTCAGTAAGCCTTTCGTTCCAACACACATAACATCTCTCTTAAGCCTATAAAAATACAAGTTATTATTAGTAGTAACGTTCTTTAAAGTTTGATACATTAAAATTTTACGATTTGGGTTCAAGGAATCAGTCACTGTTTTTTAAATACATAAACTTTTAATGTCATTATTGGATTGTAATGAAATTGATTTTGAAAATTTAATTTCAGGAGGAAGTTGATTTTAAAATTTAGCAATTTTATTGGAGGTAGTTACTGTGTAACAACAGGGTGGCCACTCAAATGAGGTTTCAAATTTCCCTGATTTTTCCAGTAAAAATCTTAAAATTTCCAGGTCAGCATGTTTTTTCTCTCTGCTAAAGTGTAGTATAGGTACAAGAAAAGTATCAATATTAGTGTATTAGTCAATATAATAGTGTAGTATTTCATTTAAATTTTACTTTTTTAATATATCATCTTGAATAGATGTGAAGGAAACAATATGTTAAGCTAGCAGAAAATAACACTTTTGAAGAATAATTTTTTTTTATTTTTTTGAGTGTTAAATAGTTTTTGCACAAAATGTACCAAATAGCAATGATCCAAAACAACCTTGGATAAGTTTAATATATTTTTATTAAGCAAAAGAAAATAATTCCAGGTAATTAGAAACCTATTAAATTTTTTTATTTATTTACATTTCAATATAGAGCCATTTTATACTGTATTTTATCCAAACAGTGCTCTTTATAAAATTCATTGAAATAATTTTCTTTGAACCAATATCATAAGTCAAATGTTTAACTAATGTTGTTTGTTTCGAATTAGCACTATTATTTTAAGAGATAATCAGTATTTGTAGAGGAAAAATTGTCAAATTTCTTGTTGCATATTCTATAGAAAAAAAACTAGATAAAATTCTTTAAATTTTATTCTTTTTTTTTCAATAAGAAATTAGAATATATTAAGAATTCCTACTTTATCCATCTGGTTGCCCAACTTGAAACCTGTTCCTGTACAGTGCAGAACAGAAAAACAAAGTTTTTTTTTCCTTCTTTCTAACAAACAAATATAAATAAAAAAGAAAATTTTTTCATTTAACATGTTTTCCATACATTCCCTGGTTTTTACCAGCTTTTTAGGGTAAAAGGAGAAACAGTTTTGGAAGTATCAAAATAAAAGTTATCATGAAATCCAGAAAATCAGCATCAATGCAACAATTGTAACATTTTGCTAATAGCGATTGGTTGGCTTTGCTGAGAAAAATAATTCATGAGAGTACAAAAGTTTTCAGGAAAAGAGTGCAAGATAAAGTCTCTAGTTAAATTATAACCAATAATTTTTTGGAGTATTTTGTAAAGTTAAAAATACTAAAGCATTTTGATTAATTTTGTTAAAAGAAAAAAATACCCCTAAAGCATTGGGAAAGACTTGAACAATTTAATTCAAACCACGAACTAAAAGAAGATTTTTTAAAAAATTTCTACTATATAAACAGAAGCAAATATCCTAATCCCTCCACATCCACCAAATTTTTCTTCTCATTGGCACGACAGCCCAGGATGGGCCTTGGCCTTCTCAACAAGCCTATGCCAAGACATTCTTCCCTTAGCCAAGGTTCTCCAGTTTATCATCCTTAAAATTTGTATCTGTTGGCCTGGCACTGAAAACTTTTTTGGTTGTCCTGCTATCCTCCATTCTTATAATGCGTACTGCCCATTTAATCCTTTGAATTTTGATAAATTTAATGACATCAGGTTCTTTATATGCTTTGTAAAGTTCCGTGTTTGATCTTCTAAACCCACCACATTTTTGCCTTTCCTAAACTGCATAGTCCCATAATCTCCAAAGAGGTCAAAGATTTCTCCATTCATTTCTCAACATGGAAGAGTTTGAAATGGCATTCTAATTAAACAGGGTAATAATAAAGAGAATTTTAATGCGAGAAAAGTATTGTTGAGTTGATGATATTTCAACTTTTTCATGATAAATTTATGTCTAAATAAAAGTGGATAACGGATGGTAAAATAATTTAGATTAAGAGAAAAATTCCAGTTTTTCTTTGAAATTCCCTGATTTTTCCAGGTTTTTATCCATATTTCCCTGACTTTTTCAGGTTTTTTCCAGTATAAAAAAATTCCCTGATAATTCCAGGTTTTCCAAGTCGGTGGCCACCCTGAACAAATCACACCTCCCTTGAATTAGAACATATATCTGGTATTAGTTTTAGTCCCCTGAAAACAATAAGTACTATAATTATCTTTAAATTTATTAATAAATATTAAAAATGTATGTACTTTTTCATTCAGCAGAATGAGTAAAAAATATTGAGGCTTGTTGGATTTCCTTTCATTACATACAAAAATACTTTCAATATATTAAGGCGCTTATACAAATTGCTTTAATCCATATTTTGTTAGTTATCAAGAATAACTTCTAGGGTGTAGTGTTTTCCTTGTTGAAAGCATATAAGCAACGCTTGTCAATATTAATTATTTTAGCGGACGTGAAAATGAGCAAACTGGTATATGAATCATGCATATATATGTACATATAAAGAAAAAACTAGCCAATGATCGATAACTAATACAAAATAACTAATCGTGACATAATGATAACTAGTATAGAATAATACAAATAAAAAAATACATACCAAGGTGAATTATTTGAAATATCTAAGGCATCTGAAAAATGAAATGAGCAATATATAGATTTCAAAAAAGAAAAATCAAATAATTTATAATAACCCTATAAAAAAATTACCTCGCAAGGACTGCAACTCGCTGTATTCATTCCAAGATAGCATCACATGTTTGTAGCTAAAAATAATTTATAAATATTATATGAATAATAGAAAAATAATTTATAAATATTATATTATATAATATACAAATTGACAATAAAGCATATTAAAATTTTAGTTACTCATATCACAAAATAAAATGAATTATGAATTTATAACAAATCTTTTGGCAAACAAAATCATTTATTTAGCTAATAGACAACAGAAGTAAAAAACAGAGATTTGAAGAAGAAAAAAATCATGATTCTTTTATATTGACAAATTAATAAAAAAAAAAGTCTGTCACTAAATTGGTGCTAAGATACTGAATTTTTCTATAAAGCTTTATGATTTTTCATATTGTAACACTAGTAAGTATTCCTTATTCAATTGAGCAAGTTTTGGATAATGGTTTCTTAAGTTAAAACAAACAATAAATCGAACACCTCAAACACAATTTTATTTACTTTTTAAATAATACAGTATATGGCTAAATTTCGTATACATTCTTAATATTATTTAAACAAAATAACTTTCACATCAACTAATTCTCAATAAAAGCAGTTATTTCGTGTCTATTTTGTGCTTAATGGATTGCATAAAACATTTAGAAAGTTTTAAACAAGATATTTAGATACTAATCCTTTCCAAAAAATTTATTATAGAATTCAGAATTATATTCTTGACATATTAAGCTTAAACATTTAATTATAAATAGTTTTCATTTTCATAATTAAAAAAAAAAAAAAATTATTGAAACAATACTTACTCTGAATGATCACAAAAGCTATGAATGAGCCGGAGTACTTGGATTTTTAAAGCAACCTCCTGCAAAATATTTTAAACATAAAAAATATTGAAAAGCTAAGTTATTTCAAATAAATTTATCAAAAAGTTTATAAAAAAAAAGGTAAAAATATTTTTTTAAAGAATCTTCACATTTCTGAACTGACTTAATAACAGATGCATTTAAGTGTAAATAAAAAGTAATTGAGAATGTTTTTGGTTATTGCCTACATTTTTTTTATATAATATTGAAAATAGTTGTAGCTGTTTTTAAGAAATTTTAACCAAGTCAACATCTTGGACAGAATTCTTTTTCTCCTTCTCTCATCACCAGCAGGAGGACATTCAAAATTTCCATCAGTGAATCAATAAATTAAATTCCCATTCAACAAATAAGATTCCTGTTTAACAAGCAGTTTTTTTCTTGTTGCTTTTCTTTTTTCTAACACAGCGATGAGGAAAAGCTGACTTACAGTCCTGCAACTAATGCTGAATTGGTTAAAATTTATTTTACTTGTCAATACCATCAATATGAATATCAGAAATTTGTTAGAATCAGCTCATAAGTACATATGGTAATTGTAATATTTGAAGAATAATAAAAGTTTCTTACTGGGCTACATTCACAAGCATTATTGTGACCTGGAAGCCTGGTATAATCTCGCCTATTAAAAAAAATGTGAAAAAAATTATGTAAGACATAATTTCTAACTTACATTTTTATTTAAACTTTTTTATGAATAATGCTAATAAATTCTCAGGAAATGTTTGTAAAGCAGATGTCTTCAGACGATTTAAGTAAAATAAATATAGATTTTATCAGAAATATAAGTTTAAAAACCAAAAGATATTTTTGACAAAACAATGTAGATTCATATAATGGCACATAAAAACTTACTGATTGATTTTCCAAATAAAATGATCAAACAAATTGGAAAGTTGAGGAACAAGTTTTAGATCAGCTAGTTCCTTTTGAACCTAGAAATAATAAAAATAAAAAACCTGTATAGCATACATTGTGAAAAAAAAATTACAAAAGTGTTTTTAAATTATGTACAGAGATGGAATTCAAATGATTCATGAATAAAATAACAAGATGCTTACAAATTGTTTGATTTCTAAGCAAACTGGTGCGTTCATAAATTTAAAAAATATATATATAAACACCATGATAAGATTTTTGGCATTAGAAAAGCAGTACTCAGCATAAAGAGAAAACAAAAATGTGACACCAAAAAGAGAAAAATTTGTATAGGATGGGAAAAAATTTAATTGCCTCTGCAATAATCCATTTTCTTAATGCTTAAAAAGAAGATAATATGCCACTCTTAAAGCAAACACCATACATATTATAATATAATATTAAAGAATAGAAAAAATTGCTATTTTTGTCAATCTTTTCTAGTGTAATTAAAAAAAGTAACATGATTTTAAAAATAAAAATGGGTTTCTTTTTCTTCCAATTATTAATCCCATGTCTAAATGATAAAAAAAAGACATAAAATAAATATCCCTTTAAAAAAATTAAAAAAAACAATTTCATCATGATTTTAGCTATGCAGTCTATAGTTATTTGTTTTTAGTTATTTGTTGTTGTAAGTTATTTGTTGTTGTCAGTTATTTGTTGTTGTAAGTTATTTGTTGTTGTAAGTTATTTGTTGTTGTAAGTTATTTGTTTTTAGTTCTGCTATATTGCCTGCCACACTAAATAATGAAAATGTGCACCAGATTTTATTACAATAAATGATATTTCCATCTTCGCAACCTAGATTTTTGGGCTTCAGTGAAATTTAAATTAAGCAAATAAAAATATGAAGACTTACGTCTTTTCGATGTCTACCAACTAACAGAAGCCCAAGAACACAGACTGCATCTGCTCTAAAAGTTAACTCAAGACTTATTCTTATGGATGTCTTTAAAGGTCCACTGCAAGAATATTCAGACCATTGAGAAATTCCTAAAAAGAAACCAAAAAAAAATCCTGATTAAGAATAAACTAAGATTTAAAATAAAAATAGATTGCTCTAAGAATACAAGAAACATGGACGTAGATTTATAAAATGTGAATTTTATTTCCACAAAACGCCAAATTTTGTTTAGTGCTTCTACCATCATTTATTATCAATAAAAAAGTATATCTACTGTTACTAACAGCTTGGAAAATGGGAAATATTTATAATTGTAATGCAGTAAAAACAAGTCTTTTTTTTTGCTGCTGTTTTTATCATAATTTTTTATCAGAAAATCATATTTATTTTAACATATTGTTTGAAAAATGGAACTATAATACAGTAAAAGCCAGATTCTGTTTACAAGTTCCAAGATCATTGGTTCCAGAAGAATCTTGAGGCTTAATTTGGAAAAATTGTGAATATTCCATAAGAGCCAAATAACATTATGCTCACTTAAGTGGATTACATATTTTATTTTATATTAATGCAGGCAGTTTTCAATATTTTAATGGTACCTATTGAGTGAAATATTAATGATACAATTTTATCATTACAGGACACTATTTTATCATTAAATGACACAATTTTAAAATCAGAATTTTTTTAAGAAAAATAAGTCTATTTGAGGATGAAGTTTTATTAGAAAATTTTATCCTAGAAAAGCTATGGCGTGTTTCAACTAAAGTGATATTTATCATCTCTATGCTATTAACCCTCTACGCGTTGAGCCGATGGGTAAAATTGCACAGTTATTTTACTATTTTGCCCTATTTTCCTATTTGAAATGAGGAATTCTGCTTTTCAGTACAGAAAAGCCTGCATCTGAAAGTTAGGAAAAAACCAGAATTAACACAGAGGGTTAACAAATGAAAAACACGTTTGTAGAGAAAGGATATATTTTATGTAAAATGCTACAAAATATTAATTATTACTTACCTCCAATCCAAGAATTAGTGTAATCATCTTTATCAATTTGCCTATCATTAGACAACTGCTCATCAATCCAATGCAGCCACTGATCACTTTCTAATGGAAGAGCACCAGAGAACCAAGGGACACCTGGAAAAATAGTGTTCATAGTTTTAGAAAACAAAGCACAAAAGGGAAGAGATTGAAGCACAAAGGGGGAGATCTGATGGCTACATAAGTGAAACACTGATAACAATTTTTTTAATCATAAAGATTTTTGAAAAGTAAAATACTTCCACAACATTTAATTGTCAGCCAAGGAGGTAATAGGTTAAGGCAATACAGTTTTAAAACCAATGATAAGCTGATGCCAATGTGACAATCATGAATAACCATTTGACTTTCCTTCTCAGACAAGCTGGGTAAGCTTCAAACTATCACTAGAGATAGAGATTTGATTGCTCACAATTCCAGTTCAATGTCTTAACCACTGTGCTAGTTCGTTCATAAAATTTATTTAAAAAAAATTAAAAAATCATATTTGGAATATTTTACAGTTAGTGAAGAAAGTTGAGTTCTAGATTAAGCATAAATTAATAAATTTGAGGGTGTTCATTTATGGTTCATTTATGGGTTATTCATTTATGACAATGTGTGTATGCAGATGACGTCTCATTAGTTATAGTTATGCTAACTACATGAAATATTTAAAGTACTAATAATAATAATAAATAAAATAAAGCTACTCGTCGACTTTATCATTACAAGAGAGCAGTTTACAATAAACTTGGCAATGATATTGTCATATAAATATTTTAATAGAAAAAAATATTATTCAAAATTTTCAGAGAATAAATCTCCCAAAGAACAAACAAAACTATAGGAACGGAGTTTACAAAATGTTCTCTTAAATTACTGTAGTTAAGCAACACAATTAAAACTCTAAAATTTTCACATTTGAATATTTTCTATGACAATATTCTTAAGTACATTGGTTGAACATCTAAATTAATAATATATACAATTCTTTTGGTTTAAGAAACAATTTAAAACATTTCGTAACCAACTAAAATAAATTTTATCAATTTCCTTATTTATTTTAGGAGGTAATAGATGATTAAGAAAATAAAGTCACTCAAGCGTCAATAAAAATTTTTTTTAAATGAAAGTATATTTCAAAACTGCCATAACAAAAATATTAATAATAATAATAAGCTGCAATAATTCTTATGATGTACACTACATTTGTAATTCTATTTTACTTCGAAATTTATATTTAACTTAAAAGGTCATTTATTTTGAATTCCAGAAATAAGATTTATCAAATTTTAAGGTCTAAAGTCAAGGTATACTTACAAGGTTTAGCACAAGCTATATTCACAAGTCTCGATAGTATGTTTGGGATTTTCAGTACAACATCTATAACAAAAAAGTAAATAATTAAAAAAAAACATAATAATAAAATTCAAACCTGTCGTGTTATCAAAATTAGTCAGACTAGTCACAAAGAAAAAAAAACTTTTTTTAAAAATTCAAACAATTTGGTCATTCAACTAACGATGATTTTGGGAAAAATACGGCCACTTGAGGGGAAATATAGTTGTGACAACATTGAATGTGACTGTTCCTATAAAATATGTGAATAAATTTCTGAAAAACCAACATTTCATTAAATTTTCTGCTGTATTTTAATTTAATTATTTCACATGTATAATTTCCCATATTTTTCCTTGCAGTAGATTAATAATACATTTTTTTGATGGGTAATGGACAAAATTAAGAGAAATTGCCAAAAAATATTAAACTGTCCTTTTAACCAAAAACTTAGGAAGAATTAAAAAAAAAAAGAACTTTAAAGTATATGAAGGCTTATTTATTCCAGACAAATATATATCAACATAATTTGTGTGACATTTTTGTCCCTCTATTTTTAATTTCAATATTTTGGTTATTCTTTTCCTCAGATTACACTTAATATTAAAAGCTTCATTTCTCTTTTACTAATTTTTCAATATAAAATTAAATTCCATGGAATACATTTACTTTTTCATACTTTACATATTTTTTTAAATTTTACGAAGAATGATTTAGTATTGACTTTAGCATCATAAAATAATCTTTTCCCAAAATACAAAATGTTTAAATTTTATACACTTTGATTTTGATAAATGAAATTTTCCAACTATGGTAAAATATTAACTTCAAATTGTTTTATCAGTTTTTTTATTATTCCAAACTACCAATATACTAAAGAAAATTTTTTTATAAAAAAAAAAAAAATTTTTTGCCATTTAAAAAAAAATAATTTTTTGCCATTTAAAAAAAAAAAAAATTTAAAAAACATTGCACTACTTTTCATGTAAGAAATTTTAACTAAGCCACAAGCATTTCCAACATTGAGTCAATTGACTTTTTCTTCCCCGAACTCGGTAAATATGGCCTTAGTTTTCATAACTCTAATAACTGTTTTTGTTTCACTCTTGCAATGTTTCAGTTTGAACATTCAATAATGTGATTAAATAGAGTCACTTATTCATGCATTCATATTCATTAAATACCTTTTCAAAAAATATCAACTTACCTTGATTCACGTCTCTTACAAAAAAGTTTTGATTCTTTTTTTCTTTGGTTTGGGCATGTACTGAAATATTAAATAAGGTGATTGAGTGAGATACAACAAAATTTAAAAACTATAAATGGAAATAAGGATAGCCCCAGAACAATAAAGTAGTACTAATACTGAAATTAAGTACAGATTATGTAAATAGAGAAATCTTAAAAAATTGAAACTTACATGAAGTTTTATTTTCATACATATCTAATTCAGACAAAGTGATGGCTAGAATTTTGCAGAAATTTCCAAGCTGCACATCTTCAAAACCCAGAACGATTTCCTTCAGATTTTCTAAACAGAAATTAAATTATCAGTTTAATGAAAATAATTATTTCATAAAACTTCTTAATAAGCAAATTTTAATTTTATTAAATATTTTTTATTAAACCTTTTTTTCATATCAAACTAATTAACTAATGAATGAAATAATGAATAAGTTTCAGGAGTTAAATAATTCAGTAAAAACTTTTTTATATTATTTTTCAGGTTTCACATAAAGGCTTCAACAAAAATAAAATTTTTAATGTAATATTTATACTATATAACATAGATTATATTGCAAAGTCAAAAATTATATTAAGCAAAATATTGGAAGTTTTTTAAAACAAAGACAAGATTTGTTTTTTGATTTAACTAGAGGTGAAATATTGAAGTGGAAGTTTTTCAGACTACAATTAAACTTTTAATTAATCAAAGTATGTACACAAAAATAATAATAGTTTAAGTACTTTTCAATACATTATTTATTAAATATACTCGGTCTTACTTTTAGTAATTAAACAAAATTTAAAACTTTTTATTATATAAACAATTTAGAATTTATGTATTGAAATGAAATAAATGTTCTATAAATGCTATCAATATGTGCTACTCCTATTTAGCAGCTAAATATATATAAATAATTTTTTTTATTAATTTATGTGACTACTTTATCAGGTCTTAATAAATGTCAATATTTCATAACAGATGACTTTTTCATAACAAGCATCATAAATGTTTCTTAACAAGCATCACTTTTATAAATAGAATTGAAAAAAATTAAACAAGCTTTTTTTCTTACTGATTGAAGATAAATCAAGAGCAGATTTTCTTGCAAGAATTAAGCACTCAATAACTTTACAAGCCGGAAAACAAGTTTCTTTAAATTGCAGGTAGGAAAAAATACAGTTTAGTACATTCTTATCTTCGGCACTCTGTTCCGCTAATCCTTCAGTCTTTAAAAAATTAAACAAAAATGTTTTATACGCATATATATCAAACAATCATTGATGAACAAACAATTTTACTATAAAAGCAAACTATTAAATATTCCTTTTTCCTTTATCTATTTTTTTCCCCAATTCATCCAATATGTCCAATTTCAAGAAATAGAGAAAATATGTTTCGGGTATGTAGCTATCAATTAACGCCATTTAAACCCAACTCAGAAAATAAAGGTTCTCCTAGTTCAAGCAATGGGACAAACTTTTTTGAGGAGGATTTTTGATAGAACTAACTCATAATGTTTTGCATAGGAAGAACAATAAAAACTTCCCACAATTTGCCAAATAGCAAGGGAATTCTACCCCATGATTGGTCTATAACTGGTAGTACTTTATGTCAGCCCCGTGGCTAGAGTGTGCTGGGGGATAGTATTTCAATCGATTAGTAATTAGAAGGACTTGAACCTGATTTGTCTCATCGAGATACCAGTGCTCTATCCCCTAAGCCATCCCAGCTAACTTCTAATTACTTTCTTCTTCTTCTTCTTCCTTATCCCCAAAATTAGCAGGGCTAAACTATGTCCATGAAATTCATCACCCGGAGGAAGTCGGCCACCATAAGTGTGTTATTAAGAATGTCCCTTTTGTCCAGACCTAGACAGTCCAATATATGTTGGGGGGAAGCCTGCATGTTGTGGCACCTGGGGCAGTTAGGGTAGATTTTAATACTACCCTCAAAAGAAAGGGACTTAAGGTGGCCGCTGATAAGCCTGGTAAGTGCAGTCTGGTCCTTGCGGTTGCACCGTATGTTGAGTGCACCTCCTGGACTGGTGCTCTGGTACCAGTGATGTTTGGGGGGTACGAGCCTCTAATTACTTTAATTTCATCAAAGGAGAACAAGCTGTTGCACATACAATTAACAGACTTACATTAGCTATTCGATATTACATACATCAAAATTAAACTAACATGAAATAAAATTTGATAATGAACCTGGTTCCTCTATAATTTTTCCCTTATTTCTTTCTATGAATAAAATGAGCTACAGAAAATCCTCTTTTTTTATCAAAGGTAACATTTAATAAATTTTTATTTATCAAAAATAATTTTAAAGAATCTTTATAGCACAAATAACCTAACTATTCATTGTAAGGTAAAATGTTTATAAAAATTATTGAAAGAATTAAATTTGCAAAAATTATTACACATGAACATTTTCAATTGACAGGTTAATTTACATTTATACACATAATGTACTTCAAACTTGGTTAAGAAATAGTTGTTTCAATGTTATCAACAAACATAAAATACAGAGCTGTAAGTAAAGGCAAAGAGCTCGTCGCACTCATCTACAAATCAACAAACATAGTCATCTGCATCAAAACAGAAATTACATAAAAATTTGTAATACATTTTTTAATACTGCTTCCCACTTTAAAAAAATATTTTTTGGCAATATATGTTGCAAAATTTTTTTTTCTAAAAATAATTAACAATTTTTAAATATAATTATAATAAAAAAAACAAAGATTATTTTTGAATTAATCTTACCGTTGACAAAATGTTATGTAAAACTTCTAGAGCAATACTCTTCAACTGCAAAGATTCCTTTTCTACAACTGAAAATATTTCAAAATAATACTATCAAGTCACAAAAAATCTGTTTTAACCATTAAAATAAATTTACAAAACTAAAAATTTTAAAATTTATATTAACTACAAAACACTCAAAATATTAAATAGAAATTGAATAATAGCAGATAAAAAAATTTTTTTTTATAAACTTTAAATTTCAATAGAATATTTGTATCCAATTAATAATTCAATAGAATATTTGTATATCATCTAATTTCTTTATCCAAGCTATAAATTGCAACTAAATTTTAAAATTTTAGAACATATACGCCTTAGTCTGTAACAATCGAAAAATAGAAATCCCCAATGACATTATTTAATAATAGTGCTAAGCATAATAGGCTCAATAAAAGTAAAAAGAAAAATTTGAACTAATAAATAGCTTAATAAAAGGAAGTTATCAAATTGAACTATATGTTCAACAGAAATTTTATGAATTTTATGAATTTTAACACATCATCTATCACTAAAAGTTGCAAAATTGAGCACAAAATATCCATGATTTCATGTAATAACAATATATTTAAAAGTAAAATAAAATATGAACTATTTGCAGAGAAATATGTTAAATTATTCCTTTTGTCAAACTTTTAAATGTTTCTTAAATTAAAACTAGAGATAGGACTTGGGTGCTTTTATTACAACTGTATTTTTCTATGCATTTTTTTCTTCCACATTTATCCAAATTACTTGACAGTTGGAATTAAAAACTTAACTCAATAAAAAAAAAAAAACTTTTTTTAAAAATACCAATACTTCACAATAAAAATAGACACTTTACACACCCAATCATACTTTTTTCTTTAAGTAATCAGTTAGTTATAACATTTTGTTATTTCATAAATTTATACAATATTGTAGCTCAGTTTGATCTTTTTGGCTTCCCTTTTCGCTAAAAAGAAATGTTATAAATATCTTGCATTTAAAAGTTTATGAGAGTGATAAACTTTGATAAATTGATGATTTTATAAAAGGAACTAAAATATACTTACAAATGCCTTGTGTTTTCATGGGAAACAATGAAAAGGCTAAAATGAACCTCCATAATATCTAGATGGATAAATTAGTTTTAATTATTATTAAATTATTATAAAACAGATTATTATATAATTAATAAAGTCAGTCAAAGTATCAGGCAAAATTATAATTTGAAGTAAGTAAAGTAAATTAGAGAAATTGAGTGAGCGAGACCAGATGCTAAAGCAAATCTCTAATAACAGTTTTTTTGTAGACATGAAAATTATACTCTTTGCTTGGGAATAGGTATCATGAAGGAAGACTAATTAATAAATTCATATTTGTGTTACATAGAAAAGAAAAACACAAAAGCATCCCATAGTTAGCCCGATTCCAAGAGGATTATAACCATTGTTCTATCTTTCTACCATTTGGGATATTTTACATCCTCACTCTAGTCAATGCATAACAAGAGCAAAATACGATTCACCAACTTGAACTTGGGTTGCAATTAATTTGAGGCAAGTGCTTTATCCCCTCAAGTCATATAAATTCTCTTTCATTATACAAGTCTTCACACAGTAATATGAATATGTTTTTAAGTACTAACTTAAAATTAAAAAAACTATCTTAAAAGGGTAAAAAAAAAAACATGTAAAATACCTTGACTGCATGCTCAAGAATGAAATGCTTAAAATATAGAATTTCTTCTTTATTTGTACATGTGTCTTCATTATCTGCCACATCTTTCTTTTCAAGTTCCTGAAGCTCTTGATTTAAATCCTATGAAATAGGAAAATAGGAAGTTTATAACCATACTATGAATATATATTTATTTTTAAATACTAAAAAAAAATTATACAAACGTTCTATTTAAGTTGAATAGTAAAATGAACCTAACACCTTAACCAAAAGAACAAAACAGGGTGTTTTTATCATGTAATTAAAATCAATGAAATCTTAGCCAAACAATCAATCAATTTAATTTAATATATTCATTCAAAATAACCAGCTCTAAACTCTAAATGAAATACAAATTAAAAGTTACGGTAATGAATAAAAGTTTGTTTTAATATAATCAAATCAGGTATGTACAACCTATGGTCCAGCAGAACTTTTTGCAATAATTCATGATGATGAAAATACAGAGAGAAAAAAAATCTATAAAAAAGCTACTGAAAATCTTTTAATATTCATAAAAATTATGGTGAAAATTAATAGTCCAATTATTCATAATTCAGATAGAATATAAAATGTTTTTATTTACTTTTTTTCAATAATTAGATCAGGTAAAAAGTATTGATTTGCAATCCATTCATATAGTATCCAACAACTTTTATGACAACTTAAGCAACAATTACATAACTTAGTTAATATATTTTTTATTTCAATGTTCAGATTCATTTGATGTGCAGCAATAAAATAATTTAATATCTTATACCTAAAATTGTTTGGATTAATTTTCCTATCATCCTAAATATTTTTATTATCTATACTGTGCCTGAGTACAGAAGTTAATATTTGCTTGCAATAGTCACACATCCTGCTTAGTTATAGAAAGAAAAAAATATTTTCCATTCTCAAGATTACAAAATTACACTATAAGTGTTGGTTCCAAATATATCAATTTTTGTTATCCAATATACAAAAAAGGTTGAGTTTTCAACAATCACTTATTTAAAATGAACTAATCATACTGTAATATACTTAATAAGAATATACTTAAAACTTAACAAGAATCAAATATAAAAAGTAACTTTACCCAAAATACTTGCAATACATCAGCTTTTGTAGAACTCCAACACACTAATGTATCATCAAGCTTTTTAACAATACAACACAATTCACTTAAGTTGCAATTATTATAGTTTTCATAATTTTTGAGGCAAAGTTGAGAAACCTATAAACATAAAAGAAATAAATTTAAACTAAATATCCAACAAATACCTAAAATATTATCAATGAGAACAAATGGTGAATGAAATGAAATGACATATCTGTTGCTAACTATGCATGCTGGTACACTTTAAGTACATCCTAGTATTATTAATATAGAATATAGCTTGATTTTAAATACTCCTCAGAATTATTTACTTTAAAAATTCTGGTTTAGTATAACAAAAAAGTAATGTGTGCACAAAGAAAAATATGTTAAATTCAAGTGTAATCAAATATAAAATTATCGTTTATATTAAAAATACTAGCTATAGAGAAATGTAACATTTACTTAAGTTTCAAAATGTTATTTAATAAAGTTAACTATAGATTGAATAAAGTTAATTATAGATTGAAACTTGATAAATTTATTAAAATAGAAGAATATGTAAAAATTTGGTTGAAAATTGTAATCAACACTAATAATATACATTTCATAAAAATACAATTGAGCATGGTTTGGGAGAATAAAATAGGTAGGAATAAACTATACACTTACAAAACAATGACATTGAAGTAAAACAAACCAATTTTGTTATCCTAGTACAATTAGACTGCATTAATGATAAGCTATTTTCACAATCTAAAGTACTTAATTAGAATTTAAAAATATCAAAGTTTAATTCTATCGTTTATATTTTGAATTTTATATTGAAAATATTAAACCATATAAGTCTTTTTTTATATAGAGAAACGAACCTAATAGGTAAAATAAAAATGTCTTTAAACACAAATGTCTTAAAAATTTTAAAACTAAAATGGATATTTTAATTAACATTTAATATACAATCCATTAAAAACTCTTGAGATAAAGGTTAAGTTTTCTACTTAATTTTTTACAAGACTTTGAGCTTTTTACATAATTATATACTCTAGACTTGAATCTCAAGGTTGTGAATGCCCGTAAATGTGACAAAAAATAAATTTAAAAGGTTGATTTTAAGGTTAGTAAACCGAAGAATTTTAATTTTTAAAAAAATGCAATTTTTACAATATCAAGAGCAAGTATTATATTTATAAATTAGTTTTCTTTAATGATGCTTTTGTGACTGAGCTAAATTTTTTTCTAAACAAATTTCTAGGAATTGTATTTAACATAAATTATAAAAATAAATAGTTAAAGTAATTCAGTCAACAAACCTGATATAAAGATCTGGACAATTCACCATAAAGAGCATTATTGCACAGAGTATTTACAATAGTATTTGATGAACGTAGTTTTTTAGAGCGGCGTGAAAAATTCATCATTTCATATTATAAGTATTATAATATATATAGAAGATTGCGTAAATTTTATTTTATAAACATGTTTAAGATCAATTATAGCGATAGCCTATACAACGTAATAACGTAAATATCGAGCATCTATGAACGATATGATAAAAATAAACAAACAAGCTTATACAACCCTTTCATCCCTTCCCCCTTCAAAGCTGTCAAAAGTGAAAGTTAAGGTTGTGGTTGGTTTTTCTTTCCTTTTTTTTCTCTCTCTCTCTTTTTTTTTTCTTTTTTTTCCCCTTGTTCGTTTATGTCAGGGATTACAATACCCCCTCTATATCTATGTTAAGAATACCTATCTGGATGCAAAATTTCTAAAAGAGCACTCAAAAACTCACCACTTCACCTTTTAAAAAAAAATTGCAAAATATTTTGTTAGAAAATCCCTGAGAGGAATTTCTGTTCTGAGAATATTAATTTGGCAAGTAGATACTTTAATTACGTCGCACTAGAGCTGCACAATAGGCTACTGGCGACGATTTGGGAAACATCCCTGGTCATACTGGAGCTGTACAATGGGCTATTGGCGACAGTCTGGGAAACACCCCTGAGGATGATCCGAAGACATGCCATCACAATTTTGATCCACTGCAGAGGTGATGGCACCCCCACTTCGGAAGTCCGACGATCTGCTCGCGAAGTCGAGCACTTTAACGGTAGAACAGCTTAACGAGGACCAATACCGCACACCCTCGGTCCCTACGCAGACTGATCCAAGTGGTCACCCACCCGCACACTGACCGTAGCCAGTGATGCTTGACTTCGGGAAACATCTCTGAGGATGATCCAAAAACATGCCATCGCAATTTTGATCCTCTGCAGGAAGGATAGCTCCCCTGCTTTGGTAGATCGACGACTTACGCATGAAATCGAGCACTTTACGGTAGAACAGTTTAATGACGACCGATACCATGCACCCTCGGTCCTTATGCGCATTGATCAAAGTTGTCAAACACCCGCTTACTGACCGCAGCCAGTGATTCTTGACTTCAGTGTTCTACTTCGAACCGTGTTTGCAGTCCACTGCGGGGCGTACTAATTTGGAAAGATAAAGCAGTAAATTTTCAAAGTTTTTTAGCTTCTTGAGGACGCTGATCAGCTTAATTTAATATGATTGCGGGTACAGACGAGCATAAATCTGATTGGCAAATTTTTTGAGGATAAATATTTTCTACCAATCCTATTCTCATTAGCATGCGAACCAAACAGCCCCTGGAGATAATTTTTGTCAGCTTTGTGATTAAAAAAAAATGTTGTAAGTTATTGTTAAAAAAAAAACTTTTGCAATGGCAGAGCGATATCGCCCGCCAAACGCTGTGCGAAGCGTGGAGGTGGCGTGTTCGAATTCCACCGTAACCCTGGATATATTCTTTGTGATGTCCTTCTCTAAATTGTTCCATCTGTCCTTCTACTTGATAAAGACTTATAAGCCTCACTTGAGCAAACAAGCCTGCAAATGTATGTAATTTCAATAAAACAATAAACATCTTGCCTCTCATTGATTGTGATGTGGAAATTTAGGGAAAGGGGTACCAGCTCAGGCGCTCTTCACTTCGTCTGACCTGGATCAAAATTACATGGCATTCTCACCATAGCCGTTAAAAATAGAGCTAGGTGCTTTTTGGCCATGGTTGTGTGATGATGATGTTAACTATTCGATTTATAAAAGTTGCCCAAATGGAAAACGGTTACGCGTTGTTACGGATACAACAGCGATAGCAGTGCCAGCCACCCTTCAGGGTTATAAATTAAGCTAAGAGGAGTGCCCCGCAAATCGCCTATACCTGAATAACATGTTCTCATGACAGCATTTCAACTGAATGTAAAGTAGCGCGAAGATGGGTACGACTGGGACAGAGTAACATACAGCAGTACGAATTTTAGTAACAGAATGAGTGCGTACATTGAAATATATGGTCCAATGGTTGCTGTTTGTGTCAAACTCTAATAAACAGGATGGATAATTGTAAACAAACGATATAAAAAAAATCACAATAAAACGTATATTGGATCAGGGCTCACGAATCTAGTATATTTGTTTATGAAATCTATATATATATTTCTCTTACACGGCACCAAAAAAAAGCCTCATTACAACTCCCCGAATGGCAACGTTAGAAAATCGACCAATGATTGCTGCTATAAATAGCACATGCCAAATCCAGCTCAGGTGGCTCAACATATAGCGCTTTTAAAAACGGAAACAATAACCAGAGTGAGCATTGTCAGGTTGTTCAATTCAGATTCATGCCCTAAAAACATGATAATATTTAATTTAAACTCAATTAGGAATTAATTAGGCTGGCCTTCTCCATGACTATAAATAAGTCACAAGGTCAGACTTTTGAGAAAATCAGTTTAGTATTGACTAAACAAGTTTTTAGTCATGGACAACTTTATGTTGGCCTGTCAAGAGTTAAGTCATTTGACAGCCTTTCAGTAATTGCTCCAAGATGCCAAATCTATAATTGTGTTTTCAAAGAAATTCTAAATGCTTAGTGTTAATTTCTTAGAGCTTTGCAGAAAAAAATGTTTTTTGGAAAAAATTTAATTGAAACTTCTATTGGCAGTAGGCAAGGGGAACTGCCAAAATCAAAACTCCCCGATTAGAAATGCAGCATGGCGACCTCCACGTGGTATTTCTCGGGTAATGCTAACAGCCATGCATTTTAATTTATTGTATGTAAAACATCCTTATTTTGTTCTAAAATGTTATGTACTTTATCACAAATGTTAATTAATATAGAAATTGATTTCAATAATGCTGATCACCAAAAAATATTTCATTTGGCGATAAAACAAATTTTTGTGTTCTTGAAAATGAAAGACTTTTTGAGGGTTATTATCTCACAAGGAAAAGTTAGGGTTTAAAGTTTATATTTTTAAATGATAAAATTTTTTTCTTAAACTTTCTGAATTTCTAGCATTAACTAATTTATTATACACATTTAGTTGAATTTAGGCGAGTAACTGCAATATTCGATAATTTATTTTGCTAATATGTTCCTCATTTAGCCAATGTTTTGATTTTTTCACCATGTACAATCCAGATAGCTAATATACTTTTTTAAAAGCCAATAAGAACATTGATAGAATTCTTCTACATAAGTACAATACTATGTCTTTGATGATAAAATACTATGTCTTTGTGTTAGAACATTGTGTTCATTGGCGAGCGAGCGCAGCGAGCCATGGTTCACGGCGTGAACAACATAGGATTGCGTGGCAATTCTCGGGGGTTGGCGAGCGTTAGCGTTCAGGGGGCGGAGCCTCCTAGTAATTAAAATTAATCCAAGAGTTACTTCTCATGACATTTGAGCAGCACTTTGTCTGACATTTTGTCACTAAATTTAGTATTTCCTCGTGTTACTCAATTCTAAAAGCATCACTCTTAGCTCGACTTAGCATCACTCTTAGCCCTTTGAATGCTTTGTGAACTGGCTAACCAGTCTACAGAGCACTCCTTTTACTTCCCTATATTTATCCTTAACTTTATCCTATAGCTCATTTATTTCTGATTCTATCACACAGATTATTACTGCCAATGGAAAAAGGGTTGCAGAATACAGATTTTTATTTTCAGGGGTCGCAATGAATTCATTTTTTATATTATAGCTTAATTCCTTAGTTTATATTGATTCGTTGTAAAAATTAAAAGACTGAGTATAGAAATTTTTGTTTTCAAAGTAATGCATTAATTTTTCGAATTAATTAATTTATCATAACACGTAAAATTAAATATACTTTGTCTTTGCTTTAAAAAATAATAATAAATGCAGCAGGTTTTCACTCCTGTTGAAAAATTATCTATTTATTTATTTTAAACTGTGTATAAAGTGCCTCCACTCTTAATTTGTAAGTCCCGCAGTGGACTGATCGTTAAGACACGGTTCCCTGCAGATCACCGAAGTCAAGCATCACTGGCTGCGGTCAGTGTGCGAGTGGGTGACCACTTGGATCAATCTGCGTAGGGACCGAGGGTGTGCGGTATTGGTCCTCGTTAAACTGTTCTACCGTAAAATGCTCGACTTCGCGTGCAGGTCGTCGGGCTACCGAAGCGGGGGTGCCATCCCCTCTGCGGAGGATCAAAATTGTGATGGCATGTCTTCGAATCCTCAGGGATGTTTCCCAGACCGTCGCCAATAGCTCAGTGTGCAGCTCTAGTGCGACGTAAATGAACAAATCAATCAATCAATCAAACTTAATTTGTAAATAAATCTTTGAATTACATTTTCTTTTAACATATCTCGGTTTTGAAAATAAAATATTCTGAAGAAAAAGAAATGAAACTGTTTAAAGATTTAAATCTTTTGACACCTTACCTTAACCTTAGATTTTGGAATTTTAATGTTAGTTTAAATTTTCCTCGAAATTTATAATACTTACAAAAAAAAGCAGTTAAAAACTTTTTTTCTCCACTAGTTAACTAGTTTGTCCTATCTATTTTTAGCAAAATGAATGTTCAATGACAGACTTTGGCCCACCCAGGCCGTAGTGTTGGCAGTCCAGTCTATATTTTTGTACAGAATCAAGACTGGATTTAAAAGTAATGGGGTCTGGAGGAAATGGGTATCTTTGGGCTCGTTGATCATAATTAGCTAAAATTAATCATACATTGAGTCATAATGCAAACTCTTAAAAATCTGTATCAGTTAAGCGTGTTAGCCTTAAGGACGGGTCTAGGGGAAAGGGGTAGCAAGAGCAGCCTGCATCGCACCGGGATAGGTGGTGAAAGTGGCCGATTGGCCAAAAAATTGCCCTATATTTTTGGAATCATATAACAACTGATAAAAGACAAAATGAAAGATTAACGAATTTCCCCCTGTGCTTCCTTTATTTTCAGTACATCCACAGAAAACTTTTATCTCACAGCAACCACAAAAAAATAGTAATTTTGAACCCCTTTTCGCATTCCTGCATCTTCCAGATTCTTTGAAGGAAGTTGAAGAATATTCTAAGTTAAAAATATTTTCATGATCTTGTACTAGAACAATTAACTAACAACGTTAGAGAACAAAAGCACACAAGAAAAATAATTATACGTAAATAAATAAGAAAAAAAATATGCTAAGAACAATAGGGTTGAAGGATTTTCGCTGTCTTTTGAACAGGTACGTCAAGGCTTTGGTTCCGTCGTTTCGATCTCCTTGCCATTTCGGGGCCGTTATTTCGTTC